TTGCTTGACATCTACTATATCCATTGATATAATTCTTAATTAGTTACACATTAATCTGTCTCTATAGTTTACGTTTTGTTCCACTGTTTGGTTTTTTAAAGGAGGCCACGCTTTGTTTTGGTTCTTTACAGCTACCGTATAATGGCTATCTTGCAGTCACGGCAAAAAGAATGGTACAGCAACTGATAGACTGATATATATTGTTCACTTGGATTATTGGATATAACCCGATTGGTTCGTTTCCTCAAACCCACGTAAGGTTGTAGATAAGGGAAAGTGCATGAATTTCAAGAAGCCTATGGTGCGGTGAAAGTTCCACGAAAATATATTTTAGTTATGACAGTTTTCGTGCATTTCGTAAAATCGATTAGAAACATGAATAACAATGCTTGTGAAAATGCAATTGTTCAGCTTTTGCAAGATCTTTTGTGTGAGCATTAAGAAAAACGCTATGATTGTTAGGACTGCATTAGGAAAAACGTTATGATTGTTAGGACTTTGAAGTGAAAATGCAATTGTTGAGTAAGCTTTTCTGGTGTAAGCAGAACTACTTGCCATTAATAAAAGCTAAAGGTATGCTTGAAGCTTGGTACTCGTTGGCCTGATCTAGTTGGATTTCTTTTTAGGAGAATACCTCGAGGTAGAACTGGTGGTGTCACGCCTGATTCCGAGATACAATCGGAATTGTATCGTAAGACTGTAGCAATACAACATAAATATATAGAGTCATTGAGACTCATATATATAATATACAACAGAACTTTAGTAGAATTAATTAACAATAAAGGGTGGCAATTCCTACTCTCGAGTGTATTGGCCACACAGCTACCCCACCTGAAACCTCTTCTCTAAACGCTATATGTTACTCTGCAAAATAACCCTACATCGTGGGAATGATGCACGGGCCAATCCGGATAAGCTGCAATTTTTCTACACAATCATCATTCAGTCAAACATCACGTCACGCTTTAACGGAGCTCCTGATGTCCAAGTTAATAGTAGTATGAATATGAGAGCAAAACGTAACTTTATCATCTGAAAGTGAGATTAAAAAATAATAATAATAAAAAAATAAAAAAAACCTAAAGGTTGTAAAGTACGAATTTCACGATACTTTAGAGCACAAAAGTGATAATTAGTGGGTGAAGATCTTGCTATGTCATTAATTAACAGAAAAGTTAACGGCTAGACTAACGGAAATATCAAAGTAGTAAAAGAATCAAACTTCAGGTATGAAAGTGTGACAAAAAAAATAAAATAGGTGTAGTAAAGTACAACTTTGGTGAAACTTGAGAGTAGTAAAGTTTTGAATTATCCAAAAAAATGATTGGGCTAATGCCATTATTAATGCCCACATTATGAACTTGGGTTTAGGTTTGATTTATATGTGGCCAATTCGCTTCTCCATGCATGAGCTTTTGCTTTAGGAGATGCAACAAGCCGGTGTGAGGCGTAATGAAGTGACTTTCACAGGAATTCTTAGGGCTTGTAAGACTGATCGAGGAAGGGCGAAAATACTTCAAGTTGGTGGAAGAAAGTGGCTTGGAACGTACAATTCAGCATTGTGAATGCATGGTCGATTTGTATGGGAAGGCAGGACTTGGACCGTGTTGATTTGTGAACCGGCACAACAATATGGCCACAGCGAAGCAGCATTGTCTTTGTTTGAGATGATACGAAAAGCCAGTGTAAGACCTAATGAACTTACTTTTACAGGAGTTCTTAGTTCTTGTGTGCATGCAGGACTAGTAGAGGAGGGCTGGAAATATTTCAAGTTGATCAAGAAACTGGCTTGGAGCCTATAATTCAGCATAAGGGATGCATGGTTTTTTTTATTTTATTTTTATTGTGAAAATATATTAAGAAAAAAAAAGTAAAGATACAATAAGTTAGAGGGGACATGAAGCCAAATTTTAACAAGAAGAAGAAAATTATTAGAACAAAAAAAAAATCAATTAAGAGAACTTCTAAGAGAAACGAAAATTTGGAAGCCATGAAAGATTATGAGCAATAGCTGCAACTGCACATGGCGGATAAGAATCCCACCAATGAACCCCAACCTAATCAACACCATAGTTTGCCAAACAATCTGCCACTTGATTCTCTTCGCCATAAATGTGAGAAAACCGAACTTGCATGGAAGATAGGATGGTACAACAATTTGCCCAATCAACTGATAAACACCAAGGCACCTGAGAAGATCCATTAGAAAGAAAATGCACTGCTAAACAAGAATCACACTCAATCCAAAGAGAATGTCAACCCCTCTACAAAGCCATATAAACAACATGAATAATAGCTTTAGTTTCTGCATCCAAGGTAGTCGCAATACCAAAAGATCTTGCTAAGCATCCAAGACAATGACCCAAGTGGTCACAGAAAATACCACCAAAACCAGCCATACCGGGAGAACCACAATCCGCAACAGAAAAAGGAGAAATCAAAATAACCTTATGAATTCTAAGTGCCCTTGAAGGCCTTCCATGCGCTCCAAGCGCTCTAAGAATGCAAAGCTCATCAACTGAATTTAACATAAAACCCATACCCGAAGAATTCACCTCACAAACTTGCAAGCGAATACCATTAACGAATTGATGAACTGTAAACATTTTTCCTTCAAAAGGGATTAAATTTCGAGCTTGCCAAAGTCTGTAAAAACCTGCCCCAATCATACCCCACCACAATAATTGAAGTTGAGTACCGAAACCACGCCGCAAAGGATAAGAAAAAAATTATGTGATATCGGAGAATAATGTAGAAACTTGTATGGCAAGGCAGGACGTTTAGAGGAAGCTTATGAGGTTATTAGGAAAATGAGTCTTGAGCCCAATGTCGTTATTCGGACTGCTTTTTTATCTGCTTTTAAGGAGCATAAACAGTTTGAGATGGCGGAACCAGTGGTTGAGCAGGTCATGGCAAAACGAGAGAACGATGGTGGGGTTTATTCTCCTCTCGAGTTTGTATGCTTTGGGTAGGAAGCGAGAGGATGCAGAAAGAGTGAGGAATTTAATGGACAACCAACGTGTGAGGAAGGTCGGGGCATCTAGTTTTGTTAGAAGTGGATAGCAGAAAGTTCACATTCCATCTCTCCTTGGGCAAGTTATGAACTTGGGGTGAGCCTTCAATATTATTACATGGTTTACTTGTTCACGAGCAACAGTAGTACATTGTCCGGAAAAATAACATTATCTGGTTTGATTGTTATGTTCAACTACTGATGAGATGGTGGATAGAATCTGACCGATATCCATACTAATTTTCCAGGTAAATCAACATTGACAGCCGGCATTTGATCAAATTTAAGCTGTATGTATCACGTGCAAACGGTTGATCGGATTTGTCTCCTCAATGTACTATAGTAGAAGTTACATTCAGTAGTTTCTTGCAAACCAATTTGTTGCTGTTTCACCCCTTTCTTCCCCACAATTTTTCATTCTTGCAATCATTGTTGTTTTAGTGTGCATATTGTATTAGTTATCAGAGAAAAAAAAAGAAAAAGAAAAAGGCAATTAGTAGGAACGTTCATTTTTTAACATTTGATTGCATAGCGATCTGGTGTTGTTTAGTGTACATATTGTATATCTTTCTTTCTTCGCTAATACCGCAATGGGATCAAAAGAATTACACTCATCTGCATCCTTTATTAACTTGACTGCTAAAAAAAAAAGTAAGAAACAACCAGGACCCAACAAGACGGACACAGGCCGGCACAAGCCGCACAACCAGCAAACAACCAAACGTAACAAACCAGCAAACAGCCAAACGTAAGAATAAGACTAATTCCTAGAGTCTAGGAACGGTGTTGGCCACCACGGGAGCGCATATGGGTAACTCTCTCCAAAAATTAAATGGAATCTTTGTAGATAGCACTAACCTTCCTTCACATATTTGATACATGAAAATGTCTTTTCCGAAAATACACGGTGTCTTGATTTTTCGGGTGGAAATTTAACAACTCAACCCAGCGGTGCCTGTTGCTTAACTGTTCAGAGATCAAAGCAATATCTTTGGAAGGCAGGGAAATTCTGTGGACTGACCATATGCATTTGTTGGCTTTGTCGGGTGCCTCTGGTAATTTCAACTCCCAAATACTGAATTGATCATCACCACTCCATGTCAGCTTACACATCCGCAGACACCCTCCACACTCACCTAGAATCCAATTATCTCCATAACATATGGCATCTGGCTCCTGAATGAAAAGATATTTAGGAATATTATCACCACTCCTAAAACTACCCCACGGATCCAACTCAAAAATATAAGCAAAATCATTAAGCTTCCAGTAAAATCTACCGCTGTGAGCAACAGCCGAATGAGAAGTAAAATTCAAAGGAAAACAACTGCGAATCCTTTGTTGGCCGCGTAACCAAGCGAACACCCTCCATTCACCCCTAGTCTCAGAAGAGATCATCTCCACATTGAACCCGTCATGATCCGATAATCCTCGCACAACCACCCACCTATACTCAACATTAGGTTGGATGATATTATAACTAGTACTGCTAAAGTCTTTCTTAGATGGGGAGTTGTTATAGCATGGATCACACATGAATCCCACTCCTACGGCTTTAGTTTCACCATTGTGGACTTGAGGGGTGAGGGGAAGAGCGCGCAATCCATTGCCTGGTGTATGGATTGCAGATGTAGTAATCACGGCAAGGAGTTTTTGTGCAGCACAAAACTAAGTCATTATATGTAGCCACCACGATCAAGTTGTGCTCTTCTTTATCTCGAAAACAAGGGAGGAAAGTCAACGGAAAATTGATCGCCTTGAACGCTGGATGCTCAGACGTAGTACAAGCTCCAAATCTGTGGTGGGTACGGGGTAATATAACTAGGGTACTTAGAATGGGCTTGTGCCGGTCAAGTTGGAGGTACAGAAAGTGGCCAACGAAATAAGAATCGGATATTAGACGAAACCAACGCTTTGACACACACTTGCATCTGAACGCAAGTTACTTGCGCTAATAAAAAGAGCGTCTGGCTCGTCGATGAAATGACATTTAGCAACATTATCACCATTACTATTAGCAATGAATGGATCCAACTCAAAAGTACATTCAGAAGTATTAGGCAACCAATAAAACTTTCTATTGTGAGCAACAGCTGAATAAGAAATGAAACCTTCAATATCAGTATGAATATTTCGCAAGTGTTTTAACTGTTGTGGGCTGCCTAACAGAGCCAATTCTCTCCATTCACCTCTAGTCTCAGAAGAGATCATCTCCACATGGTAGCCAGCATCTGACAAATTCCAAACCATTCGCACAATCGTCCACCTATACTCAGTATTAAGCTGGATGATATCAAAACTTGTACTGCTACTGTCTTCTCGAGAAGAGGAGTTGTAGTATGGATCACACATGAATCCCACTCCCAATGGTGCAACTTCACCATTGTGGACTTGTGGGGCGGGCGGAAGAAAGACTTCAGTTTTGTGCCCCCTAGCTCCACGTCGCTAAAGGCCAATATAACTAGAGTACTTAGGATGGGCTTCTGTTGAACGCTTTGGACACATAGAAAACGGCGAAGAAAAGAAGGATCGGAGATGAGACGTAAGCAACGCTTCGACACACTTTTGCACTGAAAAACAACTTTACTGCAAGGAAGTCGATAAAGGATTTCAACCAATAAAGGGTCAGGAAGATCTTGAATGCATATCATCGTGATCAACTCTGATGGTCACTTGGTCGTCACATGAGATGTTACACCACGTATCCCTAAATAAATAGTGAGTTATGTGTCTTAAAAAGTTAATAACTTAAAAATTAAAATTTTCCACCACTTGCATAAAAACACGTAGAGTATCATCCGTATTCCTATTATAACTAAAAATTTCTCCTTCCAAAGAATTCTGATGGGGTAAGATCGACACTTGGAAACATAGATTGGAGTGAAAGTCGGGGAAATTTATAGCAATGCCACTTGAACTTTTACTCGAGTTGCAAAATATCACCTGAGAGAAAAATATAGATTGCGTAAATTTTCTGTTCAAACAAGTTATGTACAGTGCGGGTGCCTCAAATTTTTATTTATTTTTTTTAACACAGAATTATATTTAAGACGCAGGGTTTCACAATTTAAAGTTCCAATCTTTCACAAACAAACCCCGGAATTTCGAAAAATACAAAACGATCGAAAGCAAATTGAAACGAAAACAATATACGGTACTCTGCACACACCTTAAACAATCTCTCAGGCCACCGGTGAACGGACGGAACTCTTGTATCCCTGGGAAGTTAGGCCAAGGAGAGAGAGAGGTAGGGGGATCGGGAGGGGCGTTGACTGAAATGAGCGTCCATATTTTAACAGATTCGGAATATCTTCATTTCTTATTTCTCCCAAGTATTTTCTCATTACCAAAAAAAAAAAAAAATGCAATGGTGTGTAGAAGAAGAAAAAGGGTATGCGGTTTTTTCGGTGTGTAATGCACATTAGGCCACGCTTGAGATGATACGATAGTGACATTCACATTGACATATAAACTTATAGAAAATTAATGTACATAGAAATTTTTGATAAGTTTGAAATACAATAGTGGTATCATCTCGAGTAAATTATAAGTTTCTTGTACTAAATATACTTTTACCCTGTAACATATATCTATCGCGTAATAACTGTGTAAACAAAAACTAATTTTAAGAGCAATGATGACGAATGTTGCAACAACTGTTCAACAGACGTGAAACGTAATTTATTCTGTCACATTTTTCAAATTCGCTATAGTTTTATCTTATAAATGATTTCATAATGCACACTATTGTTTGTTTTTGTCCCGTTATATCCAATTTGGCTAATCCTAATTGGGCTTTCCAGATAGCCACTGACAAATCCTAATTGGGACATCTTAGCCCATATGAGGTCCTACTTTGGGTTGGTCCATATAACATTCACCACAACTTTAGTGCAGAAGCCAATCTTTGTTTTATCTCTCGGTTGGTAACTGGTTGGTTCAAAATTGCAAATGAATTCCTTGGCATCTTCACTTGGCACTTGCAATCCCAGAAACTTGAAAACACCCAGCATTTTGCTCCGAAGGGATCATCTCAGCACATCAGAATCCCCAAAACTCAAAATCTTAAGCCACCCGCACAGAAGCTTATCTTCTTCTTCTTCTTCTTCTTCCCAACAACTGCAGAATAATGAGAAGCCAAATTTGTTCAGCAGAAGAGAAGCAATTGGTTTTGGCTTCTGCTTTGGGCTTCTTGATGTGCTTTTTCATCCTCAGCCCACCAAAGCAGCTGAGGGGGCAGCAGCTTGTGAGCTAACTGTGGCTCCTTCTGGCCTTGCTTTCTGTGACAAAGTTGTGGGGTATGGCCCTGAGGCTGTTCAAGGACAGCTGATTAAGGTAATTAATCAGGAATTTATTTTTCCAGATAATCAAAGCCTATTACTCGATTCTACAAACTGGGTCTTCTTGTTTATGTATTTAAATTCTTGAAGCAAACGCAATATTAAGGACTGTAATTATGATTAGGGTGTTTTTGCATGTGGGTTCTGAACAATTTTGTGAAACAAATGCACAGGCACACTATGTTGGGAAATTGGAGAATGGAAAGGTGTTTGATAGCAGCTACAATCGTGGGAAGCCCCTTACTTTTCGTGTCGGTGTTGGTGAGGTATGTCGCTAATTGTACATCTATGAGTCATATGAATGTGTTCATAATTTTCAGCAAATGTTGCGCTTAATCGCCTTGTCCAATATCAAATCAAGAAATCTGTTTTGTTTGAGCTACGAACTTGTCTAAATTTGGCGGTGTCCTGCTTTCGGAGTTTTGATTTGATAGCTCAAGAACCTTACTTGACGGTGTTTAGGGGCTTTCTTTGTGATAAATTGTTGCCTGAAAGGGAAAAAAAATGATCGAATGATTTCGGATCAAGCCCGAAATTTGGAGTACGTAATATGGATAGGAGAGGGAGCGTTGTGTTGAATTTTTAAGGAAGTAGGATAATGGAAACAATGCAGAGCAGCAGAAGGTAGTATCTTTGTGCTGTTGCCAAGGCTTAGAACCATCTCTCCTTGCGCCGAATGTGTGCAACCTTGTGCCTATAGAACGCATCAACCTTCTTGAAAGAAATCACCCCATCTTTTGCAGGGTTTAGAATTTAACTCAAACGTAATTATTTTTACGGCATTTAGTTATCACATTACTTATTGATCAGTAAGTGTCGCACACATAGCGGTTTTCTCTACCCCTAGATTGAACTGAAGTATTGTATTCTGTAAATTTCACAGGTCATCAAAGGGTGGGATCAAGGTATTCTAGGCGGTGATGGAATTCCTCCAATGCTTGCCGGTATTGTACAAAATCCACGATTACACTGTTTACTCTTGTGTTCTTACTCATATAATCGGCATCACGAAGTTGATTGTTTTTCAACTTGATTAGGGGGGAAACGCGTGTTGAAGCTTCCTCCGGAACTTGCATATGGCGGAAGAGGAGCTGGGTGTAGAGGAGGTAAGCAGTCAGCCAGTCATGTTAGGCATTTTCCATTTCATTCCCTGTGTTTGTAGTAGAACCTGATGAAGTGTAACATTCTACGGCATGGTGCAGGCTCGTGTATTATTCCACCAGATTCAGTTCTTCTGTTTGATGTGGAATTCGTAGGCAAGCCATGAGATCGAAGCGACCGAAGGGAGAGGAAGCAGACTACCAGTTGATCTTGTGAATTGGTTTTCTAGTGGTAAAATGGAAGTCCGATACTCCGTGTCTTCTTGTTCTGTGGATATCAGTAAATTCATATGAGAAGAAGAGTACGAGATTTATGGCCATTATTCACTATAAACTGCTCTATTCTCCTCCTCTTTCATTTTAGTCCTCACTAAACTGATCATCTAAGTTTATTTCGTTTTTTTTGCTCCCATCTTAAATCGGAGAAAATATGGTTTGTGACCCTAATATTGTCACTAGCCTACGCATTATAACATTGGTGAGCGACAGAGTATATATTTCATGATATAATATATGCAAGCTATAATATGTAGATGGGTGGAAATGATGTGTGGCGATGTAATGCTAGCGAGACTATTTAGTTGAATCATATTTTGTGGATTACATGATGTGGGCATCTAACTCAGATGGCAAACATCACCGTATCACCTCCATCCCCAAACTTTGGGCAACCATTACTGGAAATATTTAAGGGTATTTAAAGAATGGCATAGGGGCGTGGAAATCGATGTGTTATTGAATTGTGATTTACACACTCAAGGGACATAAATAAACACGAATCATTTTTTTCTTATTCAATCCCGAAGCTAAGAAAAAGTGGTGAAGGTGTAGGAGAAATTTTTCATTGTGTCGATCACATTGAAAAGTCTCTCGAGGTGCAGAGAAGGAAATGATTGCGAAAATCACTTCCATTTATTAATGCATTCAGGGTTAAAATTGGAATTCCAAATAACAGAATTAAAAGACCAATTCACCCCCAACCAATCAACCGAACCGATAGGACTCTACCGAACTATAAATACCAAACGTAAATACTGGTTCTGCCCTTTCGCGTTTCGCAAAACCCTAAACCCAAAAGCAAGAGAGGCGAAGGCGGTGCGGAAACAATGGCGAAGTCGATGAGATGCAAGAGAGAAAAGAGGCTGAGAGCCATTCGCAGAGAGATGGTGGAGCCCTACTACGACAAGAAAGACGAAGCTAAGCTCGCTGCCCAGGAAGCTGCCCTCGCTGCCCCTAAGCTTCCCGTACGGCCGCCTCCTAAATCCACCTCTGCTATGGAGGTCACCACCACTAACGGCGCCTCCGCCTCCACGAGCAACATGGGTATGCTCTCTTTTTGTCGATACCCGTTTTAATTTTGTGCTAAATTCAACTACCCATGTTCTAATTTGTACTTAATTTGTTGGAAATTATGTGTTTCCATCCATTTTCTTCATTTTTTCATTACCCATCTGCTAGTTTTGCTTAGATTTCTATCAATCTGCTTGCTTTTTGTGATGCCCTGCTCTTGCAATGTGCGATTTCGATACATATTGATTGAAAAAATGGTCTTTTTTATTGCCAACTCTTTAACATATATGCATCCATAGATTGACAGACAGTACACGTTTTGTGATGGAATTATTGTTTAGGTAACAACTGAAATTTTAATCAGCAACAGAGGGAAGAAAATTATAATTGGAGTGTTTTGAAAGAGTGAACTTTTCGTCGTCAAAACTACTAGAGTAGGTTTGTATTTTCGGAAGATACTATTCAAAAAGTGAGTTGTGTGCTTGGGATTCTCATTTGTAAGTGGGGACATTGTAGCTGGCTTAAACACTAGGCAGAAGCTTTTAGTATGGAACTTTCTTGGAAGTTAATTTCAGTTTACAGCGTGATTCCGATGCTTGGTTAATACGTGTTGTCTGAATTCAAAGTTGATTTTAACGTAAAATAAACAAATCGAATTAGATGGGGGCATGGGGTGCCTTGTTTCAGCAGTTTATTTCAAGCTATGTAGATTTTCATTTTCTGCATCCCTTAGTGTTGGATATCTGCTGTAACTTTAACCAACTCTTTGTCTTCGGAAAGTTTCTCAAGCGAGATAAAAGTGTAGGTCAGTTAGTGGGAATTATTGGCACCATGGGTTTGTAGCATAGGTAATTAATAATATACATTCTCTTGATCACACATTTGTCGAGCTCATTTTTCAGAAAATTTAAGTGAGTACTTTTTAGTAATGTTTAGGTTGTATTCTCGTATTCTTATTCATAAATGTAATTATATGATGCCTGCCTTTTTTATCATTATATTATGCAGGCAAGTCTTGATTTACAAAGTTTGAGTGTCCTTTTTGAGATGCATAGCAATTCGCATTGTCATTGACTTACAGTATTTTCTAGCTACTCAGCATAAATTAATTTAACTGTCCGCTATTTTCAACTTTAACCATGCTGATGTTGTATTCTTCTAATAGATGTGGACATGGATGCTGTCAACGAAAGATTAGCTGCATTGAAGCCTGCTGGTGGGGTAAGTAAGAAATCCAAAAGGGTGTTCAAGGTGGGCAAAAGAAGGCGCCACGGCAAGGGAGGAAAGGTTAAGAGGCGTCATATTTAACTCTTTGATAGAAGAACAGAATGCCCAATTTTCGCCCAGTACGATAACATTATCCTTAAGACTGTCTTGTATTCGGTTTTCCTGTTATAGATATTTGAGAGTTGTCATCCGAAAATTGTAATCGAGCACGTCATATGTTAACTTTGGATTTAAGCAAGCATTTATGGATGATCTTCTGTTGAAATTACCGTTCTTCTCTAGGAATCCAAACTGTTAATGCCATTTTGTTCTGATGCCATTCGACGGACCGGTATGCTGTAAGTGATGCCCCTTGTGTGCAAACTTTGTCATGCCGAGGTGATATGTCCTGTTTGTTTTTGTTCTTCGCCTTTTGGTTACTTGAGCTGCTCAAAACAACCTGGGGTATGGGCTTGTTTTTATTTTTCCTATACAATTTGGTTCTGGCTGTTGGACCTTTGGGTTTCGTCGGCCTTGCCTTGGCCTTTACTGTTGTTTATTGATTCTAATCTAATTTGAGCTCTGAATAACGGTTTAGTGGTATTCATCTTCACTTCTAAGCGAGAGGTCTTAAGTTCGATTCTTGATAAAGACGGATTTGAATCGTCTTATTTGCTACCCATGGTGAGACTTAGGGCTGGTTTGGTATTGATGTGCTTTGAAAAAGGTTGCTTCTGCTGTGCTGTGAGAATAAGCAGCTGTGAAATAAAGTAGCAGAGTGTTTGGTAAACTTTTTTGTAAAAGTGCTTTTGAAAAAAAAAAAAAGCAGTATTATAGTGTTTGGTAAACTTTTATGTAAAACAGATGTGAAAAAAAGCCAGTTTTTCAAAGCTGGGTTTTGCAACTTCTTGTTTTTGGCTTTTTTCACCCAAAATTGTGAAAAAAAGCTGAAGCTGAATGTTTACCAAACACAAAAACAGCTCCCAACTTTTTTTGATACTAGCTTTTTTCAGAATCACCTCAATACCAAACCAGGCCTTAGTGGATACCTTCTCCATTAGTGCAAATAGTATCGTTAATTAAAAAAAAAAAAAAGGGATATAAGCTAAATTGAGTGAAAAGAGAGAAGCACACCGCTTTAGCTTAGCAAACTGAATTACGCCGCCGATGTATACAGCCGTAGGATTTGTTGGACTGTTTGGTTTTAGTTGTGTCTAGACTAACTGGAATCAGTCAATTTTCGATGCGGACATTTTCTTATATTCTAGTCAATGTACGCTCCCATTATCTTCTACCACTTGTAGCTCTCAAGCCCCAAAAAACACCGAAAACACGTAACCCATTTTCCCAATAGGACAACGGAGATAAATTACGAGTTTGTTTTATAGCAACAGTAATTAATTGTTGTTTTAAAGTCAATCTATTCATCCGTCTAAATACTATTTTTCCTTGTTTGCTAATAAATCGACTAATTAAACTCATATTTCAATAATCAATTCGATTCTCTGATTAGATTGGAGGCAAATGCCTAAGAAAAGTTTGCTTGGATTTATCCATGATTTGTTTATTCCTTATCTTAAAAATCCCAATTCTATTTTTTAATTCTTCAACTTAATTCCACTTACGTATGCAGCTTAGAATTAGGTAAAATTTAAAAGAAAAAAAAGGAATAAACACATACAAATGTGACAAGAGAACATCGCAATCGACGATCTCACGTCCCCCCAATAGGATTATAGAATTTTGTGATTTGCGTCATGAAGTTGAAGAATGATTCTTCATGTCGAACGAGATGCATTGGGTAGTAGATTAAATTCAATAATTTTATTCTAATTGCTTTGCCCCCTTAGGCACTCACACTTGCCGCGTAAGGACATCAATTTTCCCTTTACTATTCTAGAGAAGACTTGAGATGTATACTGTTTTTAAGTCAAGTCTTCCACTTACTCTATATGTGTTCTTCTCCTTGCACAATTGACCCATTCTGCTGAGAATATGGAATTAGAGACTTGACTTACTCATAACCAAGGTTCTAAAAACGCAAAGAGGTAGATGGGCGGTGGGTTAGAGTGTAACGTCTAGGCGGATCTAAGCATACTAGACGGATTTAAGTTAATTTATTATATGTTGTATATCTAATTTCATGCTTATACTTAAAAAACACATAATTACATTGGGTTACATAAATTATAAAATAGAATGATATATAAACTATAAAATATTAGAACATAATGAAAACATAGGGAACAAACACATAATATGTGTTCATCTAAGTATTCAACAAGTCTCTTAGAATTTATTGAAAAAATAAAATGCAAAATGAAAATAATTATCTATTTTCTGTCTAAGTGAGATTCGTGTCTTAGGCAAGTCTGAGCAGGCTAAGCCAGCATCTAAGCAGGTCTAAGCACCATTTCTAATTTTCAAACGCTTAAGGATTAATCGGGACGGTGACTAGCCGTTTATATCACTCTAAAACTTAATACATCAATTTGTTTTCCTCCTCAACCTTTATTTGCCCTGCACCAGATATTCCACATACAATCAGTCAATCCCTAATCAATCGTTTTAAGGCGTGAGACATGACTTAGTTAAGCTGATCTCAAAAGTTTAAAGTAATTTTGGAAACATATTAGTGTGATTACATATCAAAACACCACCCAACATAAATTAATGGAGTTGCACCTAACATATAAAAAATTTAATCTGCATGCATCATTGTGCTTTGAATGAATATGTTAAAAAAGTCTTAACTTTGATTTTCTCATCTAAAACTAGTTTAATTAATGGGATCTCTCTCTCTCTCTCTCTCTCTCTCTCTCTCTCTCACATACATTGCTTAAATGTAAGTTCAGTTTGGAGATTCAGTTTTGAAAGGACAAAAGCTTTTTAGTTAAAAAAGTTAAATAAAAGAGGTGGGTATTTATCAGATCTTTCAATCTCACTTAGTAGATGCTATTATTTTCATTGGTCACAATATTAATCATATTTATATTTGAATTAGATACTTTTTAGCGAGGCACATCAAACGTTTGTATTTTAATGTATGAATTCTAAAATGTTGTAGGAGTTTCTCTTTTTCTTAATAAGGTTTATTTCCTAAAAAGAATTAAAAAAAAGAACACAGATTTTGGCAGTCCAAGATTTGTCGATTTTTAGAAGAGAAAGGTCATTGATTTATAGTCCCTACATGAATTATAATTATACCTACACCAATTAACTCTCTAATGAAAATTTAACAAATGGCATTACCCTATTTGTACCTTCAAAATGAAGTAATAAACCTTAAATAAACATTAATCAACACACATGTTTCTCCTATCAAGAATTAGGTAATATTAACTAACGACTTAAAATTCATTTAAAGTTTCCTTGGCTTCTCTCCTTCTCCCCCTCTCTCTTCCCTCTGCCAAGATTCCTATCAGGTAGGATGAATTTTTTTTTTTTTTTTCAACAATCGATATTATTTACATTAAGAGGAGGGGATGTGCTCAGCCTCATAATGGGCTAGCAATAATGTAATTCAAATTCGCTTTTGACGAAAATCGAACTTAACACTTACAAGTAAATATGAGGTGTCATGTTATATTATTATAGAAGTGTTACAATTTTTTTTTCAAGTATTCATCCATTTATATTATAATATGCCCTCGTATTACAAAAACACTGAAAAATCTGTCAACGTGTAGAAGTGGTTCCAATGACGCAGTCTACTATCCTTCTTCTCTCTCAACCTGTCGTTTCCTTTACGTTATAGATTGAAAGAAAAACTTAAACCCCCTTTCTACACGACAAACAATCTCTCTCTCTCTCTCTCTCTCTCTCTGTGAACCGAACCGGACCAACTAACCTTTTCTTATTTTCTAGTCCGCCCCCCCACCCGTAGACCGTTGCAAAGTCCATTGAAGGACGCATCGCCATTTTCTTCCACCTCCTCTCTACCTCTCAAACCCCAGAAACACAGAAAACCCACTTCTTATTTTCTCAAAAATACACAAACAAGTCTCTTCTCGCATGGCTTTTCTGCCAAAGTTCACAGCTTTTTTTGTGGTGGTGTTATCAGTTTTTGGGAACCATGTGCTTGCAAGGTTTGTGGTGGAGACGGAAAGCATTAAGGTTCTCTATCCAGTGAGCGTGCGCTCGAAGCACGACGGTGCTATCGGCAACTTTGGGCGGCCGAACTATGGAGGCTCCCTGGTGGGCGCTGTTGTCTATCCTGAAAAAGGGTCTTCCGGGTGTGAAGCTTTTGAGGGTGACAAGCCTTTCAAGTCGAGAAACTGTCGCTCCACCATTGTTTTACTTGATCGCGGAGGTAAATCAATCAATCATCATGTCTCTCTTCATTTATTAAATTTCAAACTCCGGGCAGGGCGGTTTGTAGTTCAAGTGATTAAGAGTATTACAGGGTCGCATGTTTGAATCCCCACTTACAATTTCGATTAGTAGGTTGACTTGAGATCATTTTCCATTATTGTTAAGAATTTGAATGATGAAGATGCAAGTTCAGCAAAGTGTGTCTAGAAATCAATTTGGTATGTGTTTGTTTTTGCATGGCTTGTTTTTATAGTTAAATTTCCTTTTTTTGTTGTGTGTTTTAAGTTTCTTTTGAAAAAGCAAATAGATTTAGCAAAAGGGCGAGAGTTATTTTTCTTGTTGGACTTGAATTTGTTTCGATTTGGTGAGTTTTCCGGCAAGGATGAGATGCGTATTTTTCCTTTTTCGGAATTCGGATGCTGTTTTGGAGATTGTGGATTTGAACTTTCTTTCGTGTGGTTGCTCTGCTTTTTCCCTTGTTCTTCCACTTTCCCTTCTATTTGGTAAAGCCGACTTATCAAAAGTCTCCTTCCAGTCCACCCACTCTATTTCTCTTTGGCTTTAGCTTACTGTTCAATAAATATTGGTTTCTTTGTATTTTGTAATTCCTCCGTGCCAAGAGGGGCAAATTCTAGTAACCAGTCTATCTGTCTCATCGCGTGATGTGAGAGATTGAGAGAAGGGGATATATTTACCTCGGTTGTATGGTAGAATCTCTCGTCAGTAGCCTTGTTTGATGATAGGTAACTTAGCATTGTTTATATTGTTTGTTAGCGACAGATTGAATTCTAAGTGGGTCTGATGTTACACAACCAATGCTATTGGAATTGTAGTTTGAACTTCGTGCTACTGCCCTTGTAGGTTGCTACTTTGCTTTGAAGGTGTGGAATGCTCAACAGGCTGGAGCTAAGGCTGTTTTAGTGGCAGACAACGTTGAAGAGCCTCTAATAACAATGGATTCCCCGGAAGAGAGCACTGATGCAGATGGTTACATAGAGAGGATTGGAATTCCATCAGCTCTGATAGAGAAAGCTTTTGGTGATAGCTTGAAGGAAGCGTTAAAGAAGAAGGAAGCTGTTGTGGTGAAACTTGACTGGAGAGAGTCCATGCCACACCCCGATCAAAGAGTTGAATACGAGTTCTGGACAAACAGCAACGATGAGTGTGGGGCTCGTTGTGATGAACAAATGACATTTGTAAAAAATTTCAAGGGTCACGCTCAGATTCTTGAGAGAGGGGGTTACACCCTCTTCACTCCACATTATATAACTTGGTTTTGTCCTAGGGCTTTCATCCTTACAACGCAGTGCAAGTCTCAATGCATAAACCATGGGAGGTATTGTGCACCGGATCCTGAGAAAGATTTGGGAGAAGGGTACCAAGGGAAGGACGTGGTATACGAGAACTTGAGGCAGCTTTGTGTGCATAGAGTTGCCAATGAGAGCGGCCGGTCATGGGTTTGGTGGGACTATGTGACAGACTTCCATATCAGATGTTCAATGAAAGAAAAGAAGTATAGCAAAGAATGCGCTGAGGATGTCATGAAATCACTTGGTAAATCGCATGTTTTGATTTCTGTGTAATGTGTACTGAAAAAATGCTTGTTTTGTGGTTTTAATAGCTTTAATCTGATTGCTGCAGATTTGCCCGTTGACAAGATAAAAAAATGTATGGGTAATCCTGAAGATGATATCGAGAATGCAGTGCTAAAAGCCGAACAAGAAATCCAGGTCAGACATACTTACTGCACATATCTTTCAAAACCACAACATTTACAAAGATGCATAAGCAAAATGGATTTGTATAATCAGCTTTTTAATTTAGCCGCAGAGTTATCTCATTTTTCCTTTTCGTTTTGTTATATTTAGGTTGGACGAGGATCTCGTGGTGATATTGCCATCTTGCCGACTTTGGTTATTAACAATGTTCAGTTTCGAGGTTTGTCACACTTTTGCCGACATTGTTTAAGCTTTTGCTAGAAACCATATATGAATTTACATTGGTTCCTTCATTTCAATTGTTGGAAACATTTAATACTAAATCAGAATCCTGAAGTTTGTTGTTTAACTGATCCGAAGGAAACTTAGAGAGAACTGCTGTGCTAAAGGCCATATGTGCTGGATTTAAGGAGACGGCTGATCCTCCTATTTGTTTGACTGGAGGTTGGTGTTCTTATTTCACTTTCCAGTCTATACTGTTTGATATCTGTTTCTTGATGATTGAATAACGTACTGATGTCTTTTTCCGTTCCTCTCCCTCCTCCCCTCACAATCGACCGTGTTATTTCAACAGACCTTGAGACAAATGAGTGCCTTGAAAGGAATGGCGGTTGTTGGCAGGACATCCAATCTAATATAACTGCTTGCAAGGTATGCAGAAAATTTACATGTAAATTCTACAGTTGAAGCCACTTAAGAAAATCTTCCTGCATTACAGATTTTAACTGCATGTTAATTGGTTCCTTCTGTCAGGACACATTTAGGGGAAGAGTTTGTGAGTGCCCTCTTGTGAACGGTGTTCAGTATAGAGGCGATGGTTATATATCTTGCCATGGTAGACCACCTCTTTATGACAATTGCAACAAATTTCTCCTCTTTATTGGAACATGTGGGTTGCAAGTCTCAAAACATTTACTTTTTTCTTGACAGCTTTTGGACCTGCAAGATGTGCTATAAACAATGGAGGTTGCTGGTCAGAATCTAAAAATGGATTGCATTTCTCAGCTTGCTCAGTTCAGTGATCTTTATCATAATCTTTCACTTCATTAGTTGTTCTCTGTGCTTCTTGAACAGATTTCTCTTGCAATTTGAAGTTCTTAGACCTCAAAACTTCGTCATGTTCTTATTTTTTTCTTATCATAATTCTTCTCTTTTTTCTTTTCGAAACCCAAACAGAATTCTGAGTTATCTGGCTGCAAATGTCCACAAGGCTTTCAAGGGGACGGTCATAAATGCGAAGGTGATTTGAGTTCCACTGTGACTAATAACTCTCAAAGATTAATTTTCTTCTTGTACACTAAATATTCAACGTTTCAAGGTTTTTTTTGAAATCCAAATATATCCGTAAATCTTGTTTTCATCCTTTCTTACATTCGTTCTTACTGTGCATCAGATATTGATGAATGCAAGGCGCAAACCGCTTGTCAGTGTGATGGTTGCAGCTGTAAGAACACTTGGGGCGGGTACAACTGCAAATGTAAGGGAGGCCAGTTGTATATGAAGGAGCAAGATACTTGTATTGGTAAGACATCACATTTGAGTCGTTATCACTAATTAATTGTTGCTCGGCACGGGGCAGCGTTGATAGTGGGAATGTTTTCCATCCTGCAAAATGTATGTCTTAAATTTTTGTTCATCCATTTAAATGCAGAGAGACGTGGATCAAGATTTGCCTGGTTTTTAACTTTCATGGTCCTTGCGGCTGTGTCAGGAGTTGGCCTAGCCGGTTACATCTTCTACAAATACAGGCTTCGAGTATGTCTAAAGATTCTCCTTTGGCGAGCTCTATATATCCGTCTTGGTTTGATTTGCATATTAATTTAGGAACTCTACCCTTGTTAATTTTTCTTTTACTTCAATCACAGTCTTACATGGACTCTGAGATCACGGCTATCATGTCGCAATACATGCCTCTGGACAGTCAGCAGGCCAGTCAAGTGCACACCGCCGACTCAGAACCTCAACGACAAGGCTCGGTATAAGGTAACTAATTCTTTGCCTTGATAAGCAGTCTTATTCCTTGTTAACAATTTGTCCTTAAAATTGTTGCTGCTATCTGTAGAAACACAAGCTAAACCACCTATTCCAGTGAAGGGGTATCCGTGAGCCGGACTGTTTGTACGCAAACGCTTCCTGTGGATACTCAACTCCATTTACTAGCACTCAGGTAAAGCAGTGAAAGCAGTGAAAGCTTCCATTCGGATACGGTATACAATAGTATAGGATGTATTTGGGAGATATCTGCTGTATGCAGGAGATTTTCTCCCCATAACACTCTTTTCTGTTTAGATAAAAGTGCTCAGATGTAAATTTCGATTTGAGATAAAACAAGGATCAATATATGAACTCATCTTATACTTGTGATTTGTCAGTCAAGGTTTTGGATTGTTTTGTATTCATGAATAACGATCATGTGCTTAGCAATTATCGTGCAAGGTAAATACCAAATTCATGAAAATTAATTGACAAGTAAAGCATGTGTGTGTGTATATATATAAAACAAAAATTTCACTTGGCAGCTATGAGTAGGCTTGTTTCATTTTTGAAGAAATCTCCTCTGTGACAACCTAGTATCCTTGATCTCAGTTAATCACTATCATTATCTCATTTCACTTTTACATAAAGATGGGGTATTGGAAGGAACTAAACATACCAGCGGAGTATCTTTGAGAAAATGTTGGGCATTTGACGCAAAACACGTTTGAGACAATCTCTAACCCATGGTAACAAGGGAAAAAATTAGAAATTATGCGAGACTTGACAAATTATGCAGCAGTCTACATATAAGTTGTATAAAAACTTTCATTTCTGAGATGGAGCAGAAACTGATCTGACCGTGTTTGTGAAAATGAAAAAATAGTATCTTGGTTCAAGCCTCCCTGGCCGCGTTTGCAAAAATGAAAATTAGCATCTTGGATCAAACCTCCTAGATTTATCTTTGAGGAAATGTTGGGTATCCGACACAAAAGCACTTTTGCGACAATCTCTAGTCCATGCCAACGAAGGTGGGAAAAATTAGATATTATGCGAGACTTTACAGATTTGCAGCAGTCTACAGATAAGTTGCATAAAAACTTTTGAGGTAGAGTAGAAACCTAATCACGTTTGCAAAAAAAAAAGAAAAAAAAAAGGGACCTTGGATAACCTCTCAAATGATATGTGGTTTGATCAAGATCCTACTGTTAGAGGCAGAGCTAAATTGACCTGATCGCGTTTGCGAAAATAAAAGAATAGGACCTTGGATCAAACCTCCCAAATGGTGGGGCAACTTGTTTGCATTATGATACAAACATTTCGGACACAAGTGATTGAGTTTAAACTGTTTTAGTTGGATAAAAAAAGATGTGCAGCAAAATATAAAACAAACTAGAGCATATGAGCACACAGAAAGTGTGTAAGAAATTTTTTATTTTTGTTTTTGAAATAGAAAGAGAGAGGAAGAGAATGATAGAGAATGTGGGAGTGAGTATTTTATTATTATTTTTTTAAATTTTTGGTTAGTTTTCTTTTATTCTTCTTTATTTATCAACTTCCTCGATATGTACATACTGTTTCTTCTCAAACTGAAACCGACTTGAGAGGAATGCAAAAATGACAATGAAATCAGTTCAGAAACCATTGCAAATCCTCTCCCGTGCCTCAAAATTCACAACCACCCCGCTCTCATTTTCCATCTCCTCTTCAGCTTCTGAGTCAATCACTGCACCAAAACCAACCAAACAACCCCAACCTGAAAGCCTAACCCAAGAAGATCTCACAAAGATCAACCTCCTCCTCCCGCGCCTCTGCCTCTTGAACCACCTCGACACGGCGACCCATCTCGCCATCACTGCCCTGCTCGCAAACCCACCTCTCGAATCCGTCTCTCTCTCCGTCCTCATCCACTCCTTCACTTCCCAACCCGACCTGGCCCGACCCATGTCGCTTTTGACCCGCCTCAGACACAACCCGCCTTCGCATCCCCACCTTACGCCCATCGCAACCATGCTCATTGCCTCATACTTCAAGAGAAACAGACCCAGAGAGGCATTCAAGATGTTCAGCTGGTTGGTGAGGCCAGGGTCCCAGTGTGTGCTCGATGAGAGAGTTTGTGAGGTTTTGGTTAATGGGTTTTGTAGGAAAGGGATGGTTTGGGAGGGTTTGAAGGTTTTGAGGGCAATGCTGGGTGCAAATATCGTGCCGGGAGGCGGTGTGAGGAAGTGGGTTTATAGGGGGTTGTTGAGGGAGGCTAGGATTAAGGAGGCAGTGGAGTTGAATGAGGCTTTGGGGTGTGTTGGGGTTGGGGCGAATGGCGATGAATCAGAGGGCGTGAAGAAGGTTTTGGCTTTGTTAGATCACATGCTTTTCAATTGGACAGACTAAATCAGGTAAAGATTTCTGGATTACTGTACCGAGTAGCATTTTTAGCTGAAAGGGTTCTGCTTTTGTGCCTAAACTGCTATCTTGGAGTATTACCTTTGTTCTGTCTTCCATTTGGTAGAATGATGTTGTTATATAGTACTATAACAACATCTGTACGTTCACATACGAACTATGCAAACAGAGCCTTTTTCTGTGAGATTTTAGCAACTGTGTAGATGCAAATATCAATTCTTTTCGTAGGTAGCAGAGTAGGCACCCTCAGTAACTCGGAAAATTGTGATTGTGTGTGCGCGTCGCAAGTTAATTACTCAAAATGAAGTATTTTTATTTTCGTGCATTATATGGAGCTGAAGTAAATGTGTGATCTTGAGTTATAGTGACTTAAAGTTAGTGACTTGGAATTATGTTCTCCTCCAATGTCCTACATTTGTTATGTGGTTCACATATTTTATCGTTGACGTTATCCTTTGCTTCCCCCAAGGATACATCTTTCCCATCTGGATAACTGATTTTTTAAATGCCAAACGATCAACAGCATCATGCGATCCATTTGTGCTTCGCAATAGTTGCAAAGGACTGATAATCCTTGCCTCTGTGGGGTTGGACTCTGTTTTGATTGTTTTCTCAAGCTGCAGTAGAATTGGGCTAGTTTGGTATTGATGTGCTTTGAAAAAAAAACTGCTTCTGCTGTGCTGTGAGAATAAGCTCATTTTTGTTGCTTCATGTTTTCAGCTTTTTTTCACCCAAAACTATGAAAATAAGCTGTTTTTAAGTGTTTGCCAAACACTTTTTTGAGCTTAGCTTTTTTTGATACCCACGTTTTATAAAAGCACCTCAGTACCAAACCAGTACTTGATAGTTGGTACCATCTTGCTTGATTTCAAGTAAAGACTTCTAATTCTATCGCTTATATAAAGTATCTTTATGTTGGAGATGTGTTCTGTTCGAATCTCTAAACTGAACAGTGCATCCATAACCTCTAGGTCTGTATCATGCCTGACCTTCTATGCTAGTGGTATGCAATGGTGAGTTGTGTCATAACTGTTTAATAAGTTGCACGTGAGCAACAAGTCTCATTTACCCCTTCAGTCTCAACTGCGTGTGTTTGATCTTTGCATCGATACTAATATTTCTAAAACTGGCTTTTGAGGAGTAAGGCGTGGCGTTTTTGTGGAGATTGTTGCTTCTTGCGTTCACGACGGTAGCAATAGCAAGATTCTTGAGGAGCTCTTGTATCTGCCGGTGCAGTTGCATTGCACAGCCGAAGACTTCCAGAGCTGCAAACTCGGTCCTGCATCTTGCACAGGGTCTGTCCGTTCAAATTCCATTTTCATCTTCTGTTTTAGAAAGCAGTCGAGCAGAAAGCATTGCCCCGTTGTCCGCCATAGAAATGGTGTTTACTGCTTGGTACCAGCATGGTAGAAGAATGGCGTTGAGATGTGAAGAAATCACCGATTTCATCTTGCCGAAGGCGCAGTAGGTTTGAGTGGCACTGCGGCCGAGTTGGTCTAATATTAGTTGTGCGATATCAAAGACTAAATAGATTGCCTTAGGTCCTAGGAGTAGGATGCATGTCACTGTAATTTTTTGTTGTTTTGCTTGATCCTTCAAACATGAAATTCGAATGATGTGTTTGTGATATTTGCCAATATGGCACAGGAAAATTAATGACTTCTTAGTACTACATTTTGAGTTTGCCCCTGAACTTTCAATTTTATTTTTAGCCTTGTAATATTTTAAAACGTTTCCATTTGCGCATACTGATAATCTGTTAAATTTTCTGTCAAATTAAGGGTTATTTCTGCTTATTTAAGTTAAAACCAACCGAAAATGGTATGAATTTAAAGACTCGGAGGGCAAATGGGTATGTTCCAAAAGATTGGGGACTTAGAACCAAATTGGAAAAATAAAATTACAAAATTACAAAATAAATTCAGACCAGAAGGAAAACAGAACAAAGATGGCTAAGGTAAAAAGATTAAAAAAAAAAAAAAAAAAAAAGCGCAAAAGACGTCTTTTCTCGTACTCCTGCGGTTAAAAGTTAAAACACGAGAACAGAGGAGAGTGTCAAAGTGTTTTTTCACTCACTTCAAACACTCACTCTTGTTCCTGCTGCTGCTATCAAGTACGTCGTTGGAGTTTCAATCCTAAATCTCTGTCGTCTCCAATGGCCACTTCTCTTCCTCTTCATCAGCCCTCCCACTGCCTCATCTCCAAACCACAGGTCCTCATCTCTCTCTCCCTCTCCCTCTCTTATTTTTCAACATTAATTTTCTGTGTCATTAATTTTGAAGTGTATGTGAAGAAGCAGCTGAAAGGCTACAACAACGGATGCTCCCCAAGCCCAGAAACTATTTCCCCACAAAAGACACAGAGAAAGGCGTTCGCTTCCAACCCATTAAAGCCAAAGCTGCCACTGAGGCTCCTCCATTTTCTCTCCTTCAGCCTCCACAAGCTGAGGACTCTCCCTCTGAGGTAATTCACCCAACTCTGAGGTAATCAATACCGGGGTGACTGAGGCTAGGGCGAGGATATTCAGGCACGTAATTAACCCAACGGGCCAGAGATCTGCCCATAAGATTCTGCGCAAGAAGTTGATCGGTGAGAAAGTTGCCCAGTGGTACCCGTATGACATCAAGAAAGATGACCCCCGAATCATGGCTATGGAAGAACAAGAGTACTCTCTCTCCCCCTCCCTCTCTCTAATGTCTACTAAACATCTGTTTTTATGTTTTACTGTTTTATTCTTCAATGTACAGCTGTGATTTCGGTAACAGACCATGGTATTATTTATGAATATTTGCATTATGGCATGTCATGCATTACAGCACTACCGTATTTTGTTTATGAGCTAACAGAAGACACGACCGCACTTAGTGGGATAAGGCTTGGTTGTTGTTGTTGTAGCATGGAAGCAGGTATTATAGTGTTATGTACAGTTTCATAGTTAGATGCTCTGTACAGTTGAGTGAGCAACTCATGCATATTTCATAGGCAACTGAGTGCTTATTACCAAAAATAAGAACTGCTTCTTTTGCTGCCTTGCGTTCGAGTGTTGCAACCTAGCTTTTGATCGATGTATTTCATCTTTGTTCTGCATGAACTTAACGGAATGTAACTTGTGCCGATTTCATGATTTGTATAATAACAACTGTTAGTAACTTTTGGTGACTAACAGTCCTGATGATTCTCTACTTGGTGTCTTTGTAGGCGCTTACCCAAGCTTGAAATGTTGAAGCGTCGTGGAAAAGGACCACCGAAGAAGGGTCAAGGAAGGCGCGCTGCCAAGCGTAACAAAAAGTAGTACTTCAACATGTTGGGTTTAGTTCTTGAGTAGTGTTTTGGATAAGAAGACTACTAGTATTTGGATACAAGATCCAATTTGTTCCTAAGATTCTGTTTCAAGATCCATTTCGTTTTTCTGATACAAGAAGATTTCAGAATTCAACTCGTTTTCGTTTGTCAACGATACTGAAGCAATGAATTTGGTAGTGAAACCATGTGCTGGTGATCTATTAGTATTTCTCAAATTCTTCTTCTCGTTCTTCCTTTTCCCTTGTCTTGGTTGTTTAAGTTGATCCTCATGTCCTCCACCATTGCCTTGCACTGAAGCTCGGCCGCTTGCCCGGCATCCCCATCATTCACATATTCTATGATTTGATGTGGAGGCAGAGCGCCGGCTCCAATCTTGTACCGAACGCGGCCGCTACCAGCGGCTTTCACGTCTTTCAGATACTATGATCTAACGGTTCCGCATGTCATTGCCATTTTTTGGTCCTCTGGGGTGTAACCTTACCAAAGGCATTATTCAGCTAACTAAGGTTTTGAAATGGACGTTTTGAAATTCTATTAATTTACACCTTTTGGATGTTTGAACGTCTAAATATTTATTAAGTTTATGAGTTTTTTGGTCAATGTAGTGCAAATGTAGCTTACACGTCATTGAAGTTATGCTTTCATGCTCAACACATCATCGATTTAATGAACATTCAAATAATTCATTAGACAAATATATAAATTGTGCAATTTCAAAACTTCAAATATCCATTAAGTTTATAAGGTTTTTAGTTAATGTAATGCAAACGTATCTTACATGTCATTGGAATTACGAGTTTTATGCATATCATCTCATCGATTTGATAAACATTCAAATAATTCATGAGAAAAAAATGTATATATTGATACAAATTTAAAAATCTTAGGTGGAAATAATATGAGAAAAATTGAAAACGAAGCCCAATTTGAAAATCACCCAAACATGGAGGTGTCAAATGTAAACTTCCTTTTGTTTTGTATTTTGAGCTGCTTGTAAAAACCGGCGTCTTCTTCCAACCAACCAGAACTTCTTCATCTTACCTTCCTTCTTTCTGCTGCTCTGGTTTAAAGGACTGTGATATTCTGAGTTCGAAACCACTCAGCGAGTTCACTCAGAGAGTTCGTCTCTCTCTGATACGCCAAAAACCCATCGAAACCCAGTATTTTGATTCCGATATCTCTCAACCAATTTGGAGTTTTATGCAGGCTTCTATCCAAAACGCAGAAAAAACCCTTCTAATCCCATGCCAAAATGCTCAACCTACTACTCGAAGCTCCTCGGCTGCTCAATCCCACATGGCGTTCAGAAGCCGAGTCTCTATCCAATACCGCCATGTGAGTTGTTAACTTCTTCACTTCTCTCTCACTTTTCAGTTCTTGCAATTCCATCGAACCAAGCCCTCGAAGCTGAACCTATAAATAATGATGAAGCCCAGCCCCCAATTTCTGATGAAATGTTCAGGAAAGGTGCCAAATTGGGTTCTTACAGATCGGGTGATTCCACATTCTATTCACTCATTGAGAATTACGCGAATTCGGGCGATTTTAGGTCCCTGGAGCAGGTTTTGGATCGAATGAAGCGCGAAAGGCGGGTTTTTATTGAGAAGAGTTTTATTCTGATGTTTAGAGCTTATGGAAAAGCGCATTTACCCAATAAAGCTGTAGAATTGTTTTATAGAATGGTGGATGAATTTCAGTGTAGACGAACTGTTAAGTCATTTAATTCGGTTCTTAATGTTATTATACAGGAGGGTCATTATTCTCATGCTTTAGAATTTTATTCCCGTGTTGTTGGTACCACAAACATAAACATTTCGCCCAATGTACTGAGTTATAATTTGATCATCAAGGCCATGTGTAAGTTTGGATTGGTTGATAAAGCGGTCGAAATGTTTAGAGAAATGCCGAGTAGGAATTGCACTCCTGATGTGTTCACGTATTGTACATTGATGGATGGGTTATGCAAGGAGAATAGGATTGACGAGGCGGTCTTTTTGTTGGATGAGATGCAAATTGAGGGGTGCTTGCCAAGTCCTATGACGTTTAATGTGTTAATTAACGCATTGTGCAAGAAGGGTGACTTGGCCCGTGCTGCGAAACTTGTTGATAATATGTTTCTCAAAGGCAGTATTCCAAATGAAGTCACTTATAACACCCTTATTCATGGTTTATGTCTCAAGGGTAAGTTAGACAAAGCAGTTAGTCTTTTGGATCGAATGATTTCAAATAAATGTGTGCCTAATGATGTGACGTATGGAACACTCATCAATGGACTTGTTAAGCAAGGACGAGCAGTTGATGGGGCTCGAGTGTTGATCTCTATGGAGGAAAGAGGGCGTCATGCAAATGAGTATATATATTCAGTCCTTGTAGTGGACTGTTCAAGGAGGGAAAATTTGATGATGCGATGGCATTGTGGAAGGAGATGATGGAGAAGGGATGTAAACCCAACACCGTTGTCTATAGTGCTCTCATAGATGGCCTTTGTCGAGAAGGAAAACCAGATGAAGCCAAGGAAGTATTCTGTGAGATGATGAGTAATGGTTGCTTGCCCAATTCCTTCACTTATAGCTCCTTAATGAGGGGGTTCTTTCAGACGGGTCAGAGTAAAAAAGCCATTCTTTTATGGAATGAAATGGAAAACAAGAATTTTATGCGTAATGAGGTCTGTTACAGTGTCCTAATTCATGGGTTATGCAAGGATGGGCAACTCAAAGAGGCCCTGATGGCGTGGCAGAAGATGTTGGGAAGTGGGCATAAACCTGATGTTGTGGCTTATAGTTCGATGATTCATGGCCTTTGCAATGATGGTTTGGTTGAGCAGGGTTTGAAACTTTTCAATGAAATGCTTTCTCAGGAGCCTGAATGTCAACCAGATGTTATCACTTATAACATACTTTTCGATGCCATCTGCAAGCAGAGTAATATCTCCCTTGCCATTGATATTTTAAATAGAATGATGGATAGGGGTTGTGATCCCGATTTGGTTACGTGTGACATCTTCCTGAGAACTTTGAGAGAAAAACTCAACCCGCCTCAAGATGGAAGGGAGTTCCTAAATGAGCTTGTGGTCCGGCTGTTAAAGCAGCAGAGGATAGTAGGTGCTTCCCAGATTGTAGAAGTAATGCTGAAAAAATATTTGCCACCCAAAGCCTCTGTTTGGACAAAAGTTGTGCAAGAACTTTGCAAACCTAAGAAGGCTAGAGCAGCCATTGACAAATGTTGGAACAACCTATATTGCTAGTCTTAAAGTAAGGCTTTTATTTTTTTCTCATCAAAGCTTGGTTAGACTGTGACTGGAACTATTTCTTTCTTTCTTAGGTTGTCACAGCTAGGTATTAAACTCTTAAGAGTAAAAAACAGGAGGTGATGTCTTTTCATTTCATATCTCCCATATTTTCTAACATACTAAAATATAATCTTTAATGGCGTGCAGTCTGCTTGCCTTTATATAGTTGGCTGTCTACCCTGTAACTTTGAAGATTGTTGATAATACAAATTTGTCTTTGGATATAATGGCACATAGTAAGCCGTGGAATGGAAAATCAATGTTAGTTTCTGCTGCATAGAGTAGTGTTACTTTAGTATCTGTGATTGTTTTCTAACCTATTTTGCATATTCGGTTCGCATATTTTAGTTTCTGTCCATTGTTTTGGAGGTGGAAACCATCTATATGAAATAATGAGGCTAACTTTTGGTTGAAGGATTAATAATGCATATGTGATCCTGCCTTTCTTAGGTACTTAGAATTACTACCATTGGCATTATCTGCTTTACATTTCTACCAATTTGTTCTTATATGAAACTTCTGAAAAAGTAGATTGCTTGATGGTCTCTTACAGTCGGCAACCTTGCAAATAGTGATGTTTGGACATCTGTTTTATGAAATGTGCAAAACAGGCTGCCTCATTTTTATTCCCCTAAGCAGCATATGTTAAATCTGCAGATGAGCAAAGGTACTTGACTGAAACTATACGAACTGCAATCAAATCTCTTATTAGCTGTTTGTTTCTTCTTTTTTTTTGTTTAGAAAATACTATCAACTAAAATTTAATTTTTCTTGGTTCTAGGTTGGTGCAGGTCCTGGGGCAATAAGCTTGTTGGAGAATATTGAAATGTCTGTTGGTAAAAGGGTGAATTTGTAGTCAGGTACAGACTTGAAGACTGATCTCTTATCTTATGCTTGACATGTTATGGTCATCTATTTTCTTGAACTTTGAATTACTCGTATTTTTCTTCACTTTTTCCATTTTGTGTCTAAGACTAGATAGCTATTAATGCATTAATGCTAAAAGGGTGAAACAACTTTGTTATTTGACACCCATTCTAACAGTGGTTATCACGAAATCGCCCCTACAACTTTTACTAGCATAACGAATTTTTATTATCTATTTGCATTGTAGTGACACTGTTGGGTTAGTGGTGAAATGTGTCTGGGAATTAACTTTCTCTTACTATTTTGTACCGCTTTCATTGCTGAGAAGACTGAGTACAAGTTAACAACAAACTTTAACTGAGACTATTGTAGATTGCATATTGCAAAACAAAATATCCAGATAGCTATTTATTTTGGTTTGCCTTCTTTCTTCCGACTGTGGCAAGGATGCTATGAACCCAGCCTTCTATATTTTAACTTTTGTACGCAGATTAATGCATTTGATAATAATTTTCATATGTTCAGCTTGCATTCTATTTCCAGCATTATTCTGACATTCGATACTCGTTTATTAGGAATCATCACATTGCTGCAAGTAATATAGTTTTGTTTACTGTTACACTAAGAACAATTTGTGCTCGGAACACGTTGCTTCATAATATGAAAAGAAACTAAAGAATCATTCATAAAAACATTCAGAGAGTACTATGATTTCAAGGTTCTGCCTTTTCTCTGATATTGCTGCCATTGACTTTCAGGGATTCCGCATGTCTTGCTTATGGGCCGTATCATAATTTGCATGCAGACCAAAGAAGACGTAGTAAATAAGCATGATTACAGTGCAGATTCCAAATCTTTCAAAAGCTTTAGGATCCAAAGATCCCATAAGAAAGATGTTTGTTGCAATTGACAAGGATGGCAACCAAGGAACCAGCGGAACTGCCCAAACTTTTGGTGACCTCTGTTGAGGTAAAAACACTGCCATCGCCAAAGTACCAAAAAACCAAAGAGGAACTGTCACGACATAACCAACCCGACCATTGGGATTCAGTCCCCAGTAAGCTGAAGTACCCATTGAGGAAGCAATAATGATCAGCAAGAAAATGACTAGCTTCAAGAGGTGCTGTTGTGGGGTGATTTCTCTCACGTAGTACCTCCTCACTAGAAGTGCAACCGCCATCATCATGAAGATAAAGAGCATGCTCACTGATAACAGGCTCGCCAAGATATCCAAGCTCGTAAAGAAAGCAATGCAGCCACTTGAAATGGCAATCAAAACTGTAGCGTTTATGGGGGTTCCTGTCTTTGGATGAACAAGAGCAAACCATGGTGGAATCATGTGGGCTCGTGCAATATGAGTGATATACCGTGCCTGCCCAAGTGTCCCAACCAGAAGAACAGTGGGCATTCCCTTGAGGGCACCCAGAGCTACCAGGTACTTGGCCCATGTCATGCCCACACTTTGAAATGCTACAGCGTACGCCGCATTGGGGTCTATTTCTGTGTATTTCTGCATCATAGGTAGAAAAAGTGCCATTAAACAATATACGACAGTGATGATTGTCATTGATCCAAGCAATCCTAGCGGTATGTCTCTGGATGGATTTTTTGTTTCTTCAGCCATGGTGGCGATATTGTCAAATCCTACATAAGCAAAGTAAACAATTGCAGCTGCTTGAAAGACTCCTTTGGCCCCAAAGGGAAAAAAAGGCTTCAAATTTGATGGCTTGGTGTTGAGAAACGATGCAATTATCACAAATAAAACTATAACAATATTGACTGCAGATGGTATCCAGTTTAAGAAAGAGGTCTTCCTTGTGCTGATCATTGCAATTGTTGCAGCTATTGCCAATACAGCACCAGCAATTGGGTCCAGCAGATTGAAACCCGCCGCCAGATTTGTGTGGATGCGTAATGAGTTGGAGGGACAATTCAAGAGAGATGTGAAGTAGGAAGTCCATGCTCTAGCAGCTACTGCACTTATGACAATGCTCTCAAGAAGTATGTTTCCTGCTGTTATGAATGCAACAAAGTCCCCCAATTCTATCCGCAGGTAAGCAAAAACTCCACCAGCCATGGGGTTCTTTTGAAAATTCTGTGTAGCGGAAGACAGAGAGCATTGCTGAGAGACCGGAAGCAACATAGGACAAGACAATAGCTGGTCCAGCATGTCTCTGAGTTTCTAGGCCAGTAAGCACAAAGATGCCTGCACCAATGACCGAACCAAACCCAAACCACATGAGATCCGACCAAGTAAGCCGGCGCTTCATGTCGTTCTCACTTTGTTTCCGAAGTTCCCCAATCTCATCGTTATCATTTGATCTGCTGAGGAGACGGTTCTTGAACCTGTGGCCTGTTTGTAACAGGGCCGTTCGGTATGTACTCCAATTCTGAAAGGATTCTTCTGGTAGGAAATCTTGTTTGCTGCATCTCCAGTAACTTCTTTGCTGGACGTCTTCACCCCCCACTTCCATGGAACCCATTACTCTATTTTTCCCCGTATTTTTCCTTAACACTCAAGGCACTGTGATATTTTTGAGTGCTGTCCTTGTATCCTTCCTTAACAATTTTAAGGTTAGTGAGAAAGTCCCAAGAGTTTTAAGCTTGTCTCCTACTTCTTGGATTGTTTCTTCAATTATTGATATGCATAACTCTTGACGTTTACCTTTTTTTTTTTTTTTCTGTACAAACGAGAGTGAGGGACGGCTAAATTGAACCCATGATCTCGTGTGCAGTGATAAACGCTCGTAACCAATTGGGTTACCAGTCTCTTGCATAACTGTTGATTGAAAGTGACTGAAATGATGCAGGTGGGGCTGGTTTTTTGGGATTGTTTGTTGATATGACTTGTCATATTTGATACGCGTTTTGTTCTGAAAACTGCATTTTGTGTTGAATAATGTTTGCATATTGTCATTTAACCTGAAGATTGCACTGCTTTGATCGGTTGTATTGTCATCTACCACAAAATTATGAAGATGCTGCCGGACCCTTTTAACTTAATACAGAATTGGCATCAGGAAGTTTTACAGTGACTGTCACCCTATCGCGTGATACCAACAAGCCGGATAAGTCAAATTTGTTGGTTCAAAATCAAACGAGTTGGTAGAACTTCATGTCATCTAACTTGACTACATGTAAAAAAGTCTTAGATTCGACAGTACTGAATCGGAATCAAAAGTAACATACTGAACAAAATGCTGAAAACTAACACAGTTGTAAAAAAGTCATTCTATTCTCCGAACTTTCTCAGAAAATGGCAACAAAGAAAGCCTTAATACTCGAAGCTCTATCGTGCGAATTACATGTTCAAAACTGTAATTCTTCTGTAGTTAACGGAAGATGAAGTTTACATTTCCATTCAAGGCTTGCTTTCTCCCTCGGTTTCTTATTACTCGATGTTGTAGGCTGCTTGTAGCGATAATTTATTCTTCCTTGGTACAAAGAAAGTTCTTGTTTATGTTATGTTTCAAGCACCTCACCTCTTGTTGAATCGGACTGCAAAACCACGCTTTTAACGTCCATCCGATACTAAAAGTTTCTTCCTGAAAAAGTCTCGCACCAAAAATGGCATGAATAAATAAAAAAGAGTTATGATCTCCAGGATTTCCATGCCTTGCTCATTTTAGCACCAAGATATCTCATGCCATTAATGCCACCAACAGCTATGAGACCAGCGACTGCCTGTCTTGCACTTGAAACCATGACCTTTCGCCTCAAAATACTCTGCATGCATTTAGCAGCCTCGTCTTTGGATCCAATCACAATATCGTGAACAGCTCGACCTGCATTTGAAGTGAAACGTGTAATGATTGACTCCAATCAGGAGTTACAAGTACTCTGTTAAACTGCCATCCTAGCTAAGTCAAACACTATCTTTGTGCCATACAAATCTGGAAGTTTGTGATGAATTTTCCTTTCCTTTTCTAACAAGCGAGGTTTTCCTAAGAAACTTCGGGAACAGTTGTGAACCTTACATATGAAATTAGATAAATACTTCAAATACCTTTAGAAGTGTAATGCAGATGAGTTAAGGTTCATACCAGAGCCGCACAGTGCTTTCTTCTCTCCTAGCTTCATCCCCATTTGGCTTCTGACCATCGGGGGCAGATAAGAAACGAGAGATTGGGCAGCTGATAAACCACAATCCTGTTTTATCAGGCAATAACGTATATTAATCTTTGAACACAACAAACAGTGAACTGTAGACTAAATTAAATAACTTTCAGAAGAATTACCCATATACTGAAGTCTTTAAGTTGATATTTAGCTTAAATTCAAAAACATGCAACCAAAGATCCATGAAATCAACCATTTAAATACTTTTCACGTCTAAGAAACTATAAATAAACACTTTGACAATAAAAGTGATTGTGGATAAAAGGGTTTCACAGAGATCAAAGTTGCAAAAAAGGTTAAACAAACTACAAATGTTTCGAATTCCAAAAGCAGGAGCTAGCAATTATAATTAACAAAGATGAAAGCAAAAACGTGTTGTATACAAATAAAAAAAGTATACGTATTTTTGTCAAAAACATTTTGTATGCTATCCATTAGGCAATAAAAGTTGGAGAGATAATGTTGGATCAACTCATCAATCCCACATTGACAACCTGAGGGTTATAATATACCTGAGATATATATGGTTGAGGATTCCCAGATAATGACCGTCTCAACAACTCTTTGGTCTCATAATCTTCTATGAATGGCTTATACATCGACTGGAACAATTCAAATTGCCCTTGTACTATTTTCTTCACCTGCAGCAGATCATCTAAATTAAAGAAATAGCTTAAGTTTGACTACATAATTAGAAGACCCACCAATTGAATGCAAGTTTGTGGATTTGTGTAACCTGAGATTGAGCTTTACCTTATTTCTGTCCTCTGCAAAAAGCATACGCACATCACCCATATATGAGAGGCTACATATTTTGGCATACAGATCTTCCTGCATTAAATTAAGTATGTAATAGAACTTCAGATATTCTAAACTGATTGAGCAGTGACTAAGAATGAGACCTCAGTGAAATTGGATGGCAAAAGAAGGAGCGCAGCAGACATTGCAGCCCTCAAATTAACCGAGTTTACATTTGTGATATCCAAATTATCCAAAAGTACCTGAACCTGTTGAAAAAAAAAAAAAAAAACATTGAAAACTCCCACTACAACTGGAAGTTCTGGTATTTGGATTTTCCTCATGTAGCAAACAGTGCTACTAGAAGACAGTTGAGAAAAATGTAACTAAGCAGGAATTAACTAAAACCAAATAAGTGGACAATTATGGAGCTGAAGATTAATGTCCCACAAATACAAACCCACACAACAAAAAAAGTGAGAATCAATGAGAAAGACATACTGGCTTTTGTAATCGGCCACTCAAATAGAACCTCTCCCAACGTAGCACATCCTGAACCAAGTTGTCCATGCCAACAACCCCATACTTATACATCTGTAAAAATTACATAGTGTTAGTTTGTGATGAGTCACGAAAAGATACTAAGATGCAAAAGATTGTGGAATGTATACCGAAGTACTAGAACAATATCAGTTTAAAACATGGCAAGAAAGCTCATATGCCTAACAGTCTATACTTGAACATACAAGCAGCTGAGTGATCAATACCTTGTCATTCCAACTAACAAAAGGATTGAAGTGCACTCCTACACCGATTTCATCTGCAACGCCAGTAATCTAGCATGCAAGAATATAATATGTCAGAATCAATGAAACTACAACTGAATATGGAAGAGAGAGAGAGAGAGAGAGAGAGAGAGAGAGAGAGTACCAGCCTTGCTCCACCAAGGAGCACCATCCATGAGGCGTAATGATCGTTGTTCAATTTCAGATTCTACTTGTATAATGCACAAAAGAAGTAAATGATGCGAGAAGTTATCGATACATCAAAAAGATACAAATAATGAGTTGTAGTCTAAAAGCTCACCTCAGAATGCCATTGCTGGGGATCTGATACACCAAGAATGCAATCCACCATAGTTGACTGCCACCCCAAAATTCACAAATGCAAAGCAAAGCTTCAATATTTACACAGTCAAGTTAAAAAACAACTGGTTAAATGGTAAAAAAGAACTGCAGAAGCAAAGTAAAAAAAACCTTGGCAGTGGAAGGATGGCTGGGGTGGAGAGATGAGCCATAGACACAGCAGAACTCAACAGGGGGAAGAGTTTTGAGAAAACTCTGGAGCTGCGTTTCGTCGTGATTCTCCATAGTCACACTAGCAATGCACACAGAGCATTAAAATTCTGAAGAAAGACTGAAGGGGAATTTCATCAAACAGGTGGAGTGCAGGTGGTCTTTCACCTTCGGTCTCAGCAACACAAGTCCGATAAAGTTTTCGACTTTTCAAATTCCCAAAGCAGTTGAAGGAAATACGGATTTGAATTCGGGAACGACTAACGAGCATCAAGGGTTTAGGGTTTAGGGTTTTGGTGGATCGATTGGATACTGGTTGCAAGCATGCAGGTTTTAAGTTCGCCGAGGCTAAAAAGGTCATTTCATTTCAATTTTACTTGTAACAGGGGAAAAAGAGGAAAACAAAACTTTCTCGAATTGCTATTCGAGGAAAATTGCAGAGGTGTCACATTAATAAATAATTAGTTGTAATTTGTCATAAACTCAATTAAATTTCGAGTAAAAAAAATAAAACATGCATAACACGCATGACTTATTTTTAAGAATATATTAATTTTTTCAAGGTTATTTGTATCGATATTTGTAACTTGTTGGTAATTGATGTAAGTAGTTGATTAACCTGATAGTCAAGATTTTTTTTATTATTATTTTTTTTGAAATTCAAATTCTCCTCTTTGAATAAATTAGTATATAATATTGTTTGTAAATAAAAAATTTATAATTCAAGTGACAAATTATAAATCAGGTAAAGTTTATGTTGCAAATTCAATAAAAGTTCCCCATTTCTTTACTAACATTGTTGCTACTAACAAAATTCTTGCTTTTTAGCCAACATGAGTTGGTTCAATTGGTGAGGTTTCTGCCTTGTGTGTCGTCCAATGAAGATTTGAGTCTCGCTATCAAAAAACCTATATTGATGGACGATCTATAAAAACTAACAAAGGAGTACGAAATCCTATGTAAATCCTCAAAGAAGCTTGTATTATGACATGGCCCTGAAATGGGCTCTCCCCCAAAACTTTTGTTCACCAAAAGCGATTGTTGCTTTTTTTGGTAGATATAAAGAAGCGTTGTTATGCTAAATGAACCATGTCCAAGTCCAATGGCACCTCAGTTATTTATTTCCTACTTTTACCTTATTACCCCTTATTCCCCCAAAAACATACCAGAGCAGAATCTCATATCCAAAAACAAAAAAGCAAAGAAACAGAAGAGGATCCAAAACAAGAAGTGATGAACAAAAAAAAAAAAAAGAAAACAACTCAGATACATTTGCACTCAATCCATCCCAATCACAATGCCATGTACTACACCAATCTGTCAAGATCTCAGAATTCCGGGAGAGCCCCAAATACAAAATGCAGTTGAATCTCCTCCCCACCAAATGTAATTACAAAACCAAACCCCCCAAAAAAACTAGGACCCTCCAGATGTTCCTGAGGACTCAGCAACATCCTTCAATCTCAACGTAACTGCCACTTCTTCGATCATTTTACCCCTCTCTCCCACGCCATCTACGGCCCTGCTCAATCTCTTTAACCATATGTCATAGTCCACAGGATATGGTGTTCCACAAAGGCTGTCCACATAGTCAGCAAATGCCTTGAGGAGAGGTGAAACCTCACCTAGCTGCTGCTGGATTGAGCGCTTTGCCCAGCTCGTCTCCCTCCATTGCAATGCAGATTCGATCGAGTCCTGCTGCTGCATTGCTCCACCGCATACGAACAACATGAGGTAAACAAGGCTTTCTGCGTCTGATGATGGACAAAGTTTCCCATGCTGAAGTGCATGTGATGAAGAGAATTGTAGGTTTATGGCTGGACTGTCTCGGTCTTCCAAAACTGCGCGGCCCCATGATATTGGAACATAGAAACAGCTGTTTCTTGAGCCTTGTTCGTCAACAACCCGAATTATGTTTTCCGGACAAATATCACCATGTTGCACATTTGGCATTGCTGCACTTCTTAGAGCAGCTAGGCAGTCTCTGCAGCAGCGAATTGCCTCCTCGGGGGAAAGGGGGCCATCTTGAGAAACAACGTATGAAACAGGTTCACCAACTGGAGATGTCACTAGTATTGGAGTCCCACACAACGGATGATCACATCGACCCCCAGGGGTCTGCTTCTTGCAGGGACCAGAATGCAAAATCCGCCCTGAGGCAATCATTTCCGGCAAATATTTGCTTGTAATTCCCTGATGCTTGAAGATGTTTAGCACTTTTGTTTGCCTCTGGACTTGGTACCAAAGACTCATGTCCTCCCAACAAGGTTCAAGTCTGGTTGGATGCGCGCCAATGTATAAGGTCAACAGCTGCACCGGACAATCTACACAAACCGCACTATAGAGGTAATGGTTCCCTCCCACCAGAGACTCTTGTACTTGGAAAGCTTTCTGCCCCTGCTGTTGATCTTCCAGTAGCAAAACTTCGCCCTGATTAAGCCTTAAGCGCGAAGCATTGTGTTTGACAGCTCGACCATTAGTTTGGTCAACTTCAACAATCTCTTCTTGCTGGTGGCTAGATTGTTGGAAGGGAACGAGAACATTCCCATTCTCACTGAGGCAGAACTCCATTCTACGCTTCTGAAGGCGAAGGCTATGATCTGAGACTAATGAAGCTACTGACTTCCTTGGCAGTCCATTCCATTGTACAATAGCATTGTAAGTTGCCAAAAGTACCTGCAGAGTTCCTAGGTCCCCCCAATTTGCATTCCCGAATTTGTTCCATATCCGGTCCACTGGAGAAACACAAACTTCAGCATGATTTTTGATCCATTCAACTGCAGACTTGTACGGATAACTTGAGCTTAAATCGAGTTTACTAAGATCACCGCCAAGTTTAACCACCCCTCCATATTTAGAATCCAGAACCAAAAGGAAAACAGAACTGCTCTTTGTAGCTCTAACCTTGCTCAAACACCTAGAAACAAGTATATGAAAACCATAAAAGAGGGCTTCACAAATAACGGGAGCTGATAATTTCATCTCATTTCCAGACAATATATCAGGTTTAAACAGGGCAAACTCCATGATCTGATCCCATTGGACTTGTTGATCACCCCCAATTTTCGATATCAAAGATAAACCGCAGAGCTTTCTAAGCCCTCCCCTTGATATTGCCTTCTCTACACTATAAAACTTGGATCCAAGAGAGCGCGGACAAGATACAAATAGCGGCAGCTCACCTCTTTTATGCCAAAATGCATGCCATAAACCACTCACCACAGCATGAAGGAAGTCTTCCAACGCAAGATACTCATCTTCATTTGGATCACCGGAAACATAAGGTGAGCATGGCATCCGGACGAGTTGCTGAAACAGAACACCCTCCAATGCCACATCAAGCTTGCGCAATTCATCAATCATGAATGGGGGACTGAAACCAGTGTCCGAATCCTCACACGAATTCTCCGAAACCCAATCCTCAATACAATGTGTGAACAACTCGAGGTCAGCAAGTTTCCTTGCATAGTCCTTTAGTCCATTGGACACTCTTCTGGAAGAAGAGGCATACCTGCTTGAAGCTGAAGCAGCGGACTGTGTGGAAATAACGGAGTTAGACCTCCGAAAACTACCATTCGAGCTATGGCCCGGAGACAGCAGTCCCATGTCATTTTGCAGCAAACCAGATGTGAACTTTCTCAAACTTCCACTCAAACTTTGCTCCAAAGACGAATCGAAATCGTTATGTTGGTAACCTAATTTCATTGCTAACATTCAACAAAACAAAACCCAGAAGCAGGAGTACAACAATGAACTGATGATTCAGAGATCTTTGAGGAGTTCAAGACTTGCATTTCTCACAACCCAATAAACAAAAACATGGTTTGCAATGTCACAACAAGAAGATTGAACCCTCATTAAACTAAAAAATGTGCAGAAAAAATGAAAGGTGGGAAAGAGATTGAAAATTTACTGAAAACCCAAGAGCTTGGAGAGTCCCATTCAGATCTCTGAAGCATTGATGGCTGAAAAAGTGGATGGGAATGTGAAAAGCATTTGAAAAATGCAGATGGGTTCTTCTTCTCATCCTTAAAAAATGGATGCTTTTTTTTTACCAGAGAACAAAAATGGCTGCTTTTTAACCCCAAAAAATGGTTGTTCTTCTTGTCTCTAGTTGTAGGTGTGGTGGTGCATTGGCTTTGGAAGGAGGGTCCAAAAAACTCTCAGCTCCTCTCAGCGGAGAGAGAGAGAGAGAGAGAGGGAGAGAGAGAGAGAGAGAGAGAGAGAGAGAGAGAGAGGAAGGCCCGTAGAGCTGGGACAGCAATAGAATAATAAAAAGTTGAGAAGTGCAACAACAGCGACAAGAAGAAAAGGGGTTGAAGGCTGAAGGGAACCCAAGTGAGCTTTTGTCTACTATCCCCACAACGATGGGGTCGTCTTGGTAGCTGGCCCCTTTGGTCCCATTCGACCCAATGACAATGACCATTCTTAATGTAGTTAAAAATTGAAACAACTTCTGAGTTTTGATCCAAAAAAGAAATTATAAATAAAAAAAACTAATAACAAAATCATTAGTTTATACATACAAGATTCTAATTTTCTAACAAAACGATACTTAAAAACTATTTTGATTTGCAAGAATAGATTCAAATTTGGGTTCGATGGACCGAAACAATACTCTGACCAACTAACGTGACAAAAATTCAAACTTGAGTACAAAGTTGTGAGTACACTGTTCTGACCAACTGCTATTTCCATGTCTCTGACATGAAAAACATTCTTGAGTGGTTTATAAAGATGATGAATATAAAAAACAAAGGGGACAATAAAAAGTTTGGAGGGGGGGCAAAAAGGGTCAATTAGAGTCAAGTGTTCATCTAGTGATGTATTTTGTGTCATAGAAAATTAGGTAAAGTTCTCACTTTGGGTGGCCAAAATCTTGCAGGCTCACAGCTCTCATCTTTTCCTGCAATCATCACAGACAGTTGGATTGCAAAGTTGTAGGCTTGCTTTATTAACGTGACTGATTTCCGGATTAACCACCACTTCCTGAATCTCACAAAGATCTTCAATTATTTGCTACTTGCTTGCAAAGGAAGCAAAAATGATTGAAACCAAAAGCATCTCTCTTCCTTTGTACTTTTGCTACAAGTGCTACAGTCTCGATTCATATGGCACAGAAACAAATTGCACAAACAAACCTGCGGCCGAGTACTAGTTAACGAAATTTCATTGATTACGGGTAAGAGATTACAAGTTAATAGCATCACCGGCGAAAAAGCCCCTCTGCAGCTCAGCTGGCTGACTTCTCTGAAGTAAGCCATTCTTTTGCAGCTTCTAAGTCGGGAAGGACAACTGCGCCAGATTCCCTCCACTCATCGGCATCAGTTGTCTTGAAACTATCCAATAACAATGCAAGCATCCCAATGCTGTTGCTGGGACATAGTCTTTGCGCATGCTGTCCCCTATGTGCAGAACCTCGTCCAGTGACAGATTTCCAGCCCTTTCAAGCGCAAGCTCATAAATTCTCGGTTTTGGTTTCTCCACGCCTTCTATTCCACAGAACACTCCAAAATCCCAATCAGTTGCCTGAATAAACAATTGGTACGATACCATCAGGAAGAGAAAGAAACGAAAGCAAACCAATCCTAAGGGATGTGCATACTGAAGGCTCAAGTAATGCTGCTGAAACAGAGATTTAAGTAACTTACGTGGTGCACACCCAAGGCTGGAAGAATTGCATCTCAATAACGGTATTCTGCATCGCTAATAATTCCAACTTTTAAGACCTTGTTCATGGACCCATCTTAGAAAGGGTTGGGAGTCAGGAAAGATAGAATAAGGAGCAGAGGAACCAAAAGGATGCATACATACGTCGGTTCTCAAATGTCTCCTCATCGTACTGATATCCAGCCTATCATAAAAAAAAGATGTCCATTTCAGAATAAATGAACAAGGAAATTATTCGAGAAAATATAAAGTCCTAGCTGATACTATTTATCGTCTAAATTCATTAGGGGGTTGATGTTTTCATTTTTCTAGATTAGCAAGTTCTGTGAGTTATTCAGAGGCACCACAAAACCTTGGCATCACATACAACGGTTGTCGAGAAGCTAATTATCACATCGGACCGTACCAAAAGATTGACAAGCCATGTCAAATATCTTACCCTTATAAAAGAGTCTCTAACACAAGTTTTCCACCATATGATGTTGGGCATTTTCGCAGCATGCCCGAAACATGGATGGTTGGTGGCCATGTCTTTATATGCATATTTGAAGCCCTCATGCACCCTTTTGTAGTCAGGGAATTACAGCCCAACAGCTTTGGCTGCCATGCAATAGTATTCGCCAAGCTCCCCCTTGTAAGCTAGCAATGTACCAGTAACATCCACTGTAATGCACCGCAACTTTGCCAACAAGGACATTGTAAAACTGTTTTGTAGTCAATCCCCAAAATTGAACCAGAAAATGCCTAAGTATCTAGGAACTTTCAGTATACGATGGGATCAAAGCACCAAATATTGCTGGAGTCAACCAACCTCTTCAAGGAGTTCCCTTTATCACTGCATTTTCATGGTAGATTTATTAGGTTATGATGGGAACGTTCCAATTACAGATAATGAGTACTGTCAAAATGGCATCAGATTCAGATTCATAACCCCATGAATACCACCCCGTCTATATATCATTCTGTTCTCGTAACTATCTTCCGTGTACAAATAAAACTAAGATGAATGTTCATCAAGTCAAGTAGCTCGATGTACAAAACTGGAATGGAAAAAGATGAGCTGCATCGGCTATATCTACATTTCCTACTTATACATTGCTTCTTAGTCTACAAAAACAAAAAAAAAGTAAAAGGCAGTGCTTCTTAGTTTCTAATAACATAAAAACCTCACAAACACATAGAATGGAACCGAATACAGATGCAGATCTATACATCAGGACCAAATGATTTCTGAATTGCATAGTTAATAGCATCAGATACTGCGTCAGTTGTTGAAACAAAAGCTAGGCCTAAGGGGCAGATTCGTTCCCATAAATTAACGCAATGATCAAACAGATAACTTACCCTAGATTTTTTTACATAGTATCTTGATGATAACGAAATGCCACTTAGTGGGATAAGGCTTGGTTGTTATTGCTGTATCTTGATGATAAAGAAATGCCCTTCCCCCAACATATAATTTTTAGTTTACTAGTGCACACTGCACACACAAGCATTAAAGGATGAATCTGCAACAAATCCAACTTCTAAGTCAGAATTCAGCTTACCCAGATGCCCAAGACACATATATGATTTTTATCTGTATCATCAAAAGTTTTAGCCTTTCTAATCATCCCCAATCACCAAAACTAAGAATAAAAAGTTTTAGCCTTTCCAATTCATTTCTCTTCTAATTTTTCAGCAAAGCATCCAATATTGAACACATAAACAAAAGATTCCACTCGAAAGTTGACCCCATTAAATTAAGAGAACTTTAATGAAAAGCTCTCGTACTGTTCATTTTAACGAAAAATCATATTTTTACACTAAAAAGTCAATTTTAATACTATTCACTTTACCTTTTATTTTATCCTTATCGTTAAAACTCAAAGTTTTCAAATTATTTTAATTAGTTTTCCTTTAAATTAATTCTAAGGAAAAAAATATATATATAAAATCAGAGAAAATGCAGCTTGGAAAAAATATGAGATACCAACTAAATCAAACTCAAATTCTCACCAAAATAAAAATTAGTAAAATTGAAAATATTGAGCAAGAAGAGATTTTGAAGCTTACTCACATGCTGAAATGGGCAGGGAATCTGAATTTCTTAGGAGAAAACGCAAAGTCGTTTGAGGCTTGGACTGCACATTCATGGAGGAAAAAAATAAAGGGAAAAGGATCATCTCCTTGTCCTTTTCATCAAATCCACATAGTCTGTGATCCGGGCTGTTAGAATTTGATTCAACGGTTACAATTATTATAACTTTTAAAGAGGCCCTCTGTGTATAACCGTTAGATCAAATTTCAACGATTTGGATCTTGGACTAGGTGGATCCCTTTCCAAAGTGAAGCTCCAGAATTTATAGAGTAGGACCAAAATGCATCAAATACAGCAGCAGCAGTTAATTGGAATCTGCGTCCCTGGACTTCAGAGCTTTTGCATGATTTTTTTGTTAGATTTGGAAGAATCATAAAAAGTAGGCTAAAAATAATTTCCTAGTACAAGATATGGCTAGTTATCCAAATTTTCCAATTCTTTTATTACTACATTGTAGCAGACTGTGTTTAGGCACATGGAAAAATATTTCCATTTCTTTATATTTTTTGCTTTAAATATTTCACCCTTCACTTTTACTTTTTGTTTCTCTTAAGCCCCTCTTGTTGCATTCGATGTGTTTCTGAGTTTTTTTCAAAAGGGTAATACTAAGAAGATTAAATTTATAAATTAAATTCATAAATTAAATGACATGTAAGTTGATTATTGAAATATTACTTAAGTGTTAATAAATATGCTCATTTACTATTGATGACACATAATTTAGTTTGTAAATTTTATCTATAAATTTAGTTTCTCTAACATTATCCTTTTAAAAAATATGTACTTTTAGATTATCGTAAGATCCTAGTAGGAGTTCTGAGTCTTGACAGTAATTTTATACTGGGATAGGATTACAAATATTTTAACGCTTGTTTTAAATCTTTAAATTACATAGTATTCAAGAGTTTTTATTTATTCATGAGATAGAAGCTTATGTGAATTTTAACTAAAACTAAAAATAAAAATAAAACTACAAAAACATAAAATTTGAAAGAAATTAAAAATAAAATTAAGCGAGACGTCTTCGAGATTACAGCAGTTGGAGATGGAGTTAGCGGTTATGAGGCAACGAGAAGAAGTGTGTCAGTGATAGGAGGGCCTTTTGCGCTACATTGTTGGGATAGCCCAAGCAATGTCAGCCTCTCACATTCACCTTTCTGATCCTCTGTACGAATTTCAGCCACCATCCCACCAGCTACCTCACCAACCACCCGGTTGTAGTTAGTTTAGTACTTTTTACATATAATTGTGGGAATATTTTATTTTTAATACAACTAAATAAATTTCTTTAATATTGTGATTTATTTTTTTATTTAAAATTATTATTATTATTATTATTAATAAGAGGAGAAGAAGGATTCGAAATTATTATAATAATTTAGAAGATTGAAAATTTTAAACTCAAGACGCATAGGTAGAAAACCAACACCTTAAACCCTAAATACATCAATTAATTGTGTGTTAGATTAGTGATTATACAATCTTGTATAATGGCCAAAAGGATGGCACTATTGTTACATCAAGACTAAACTTGTAAGGCACCTTGAAGACAACATAATATGCTTCTATATAGTGACAACTTTAATATATGGTTGCTTACGTATGGTTTCACTATAGTTCCCTTTATCAGTTTCATTTAGAAATGTGAATCCGAAGCTAACCCAAGCAAGCACATTGTCTTCTGAGTCACATATACATTAGCCTCTTGTCACACTCTCATGCGTGTACGGTATCTTGTCCACACGAGTCTAACTTAATCTCATTAAAGCTAGCCCTTTATTACTCCAAACACGAATTTAGTAATTCTAGTTCAGCCAGTCAAGTTTAATAAAACTTAGTAAAGGCAGACAAACACCGCTTGAATACTTTTTATTTTTTCTTTAACAAACGATATTATCTACACTAAGAAAAAGGGGATGGACTTCCGCCTCATAATGGGTTAGCAATAATGTGGTTTAGACACGCTCTAAAGACTTTGATTCCTAAACTTTACATGGTTTTGCTAATCTAGTCAAATTCAGTGGACTTGCAAGTGGCAAACATGTAAAATGGGCTGCCCACTTGAAATCGGGCGGGTGACAATTTGAATATTGATTTTACACTTCCCTAACTTCCCCATAAGTATTCGGTCATCATGCTCAGTAGCCACCAGCACGAAAGAAAGCAAAGAAAACTCGATTTTTACGACAATGTATAGCTTTGCAAATTTATGCAATCCTATCCATCGCCTCAGTATTGCTCCCTATTTCCTTCTTTTGCTTTTGGTCTCTTCCTACAAGCAGAGTAGTACTAAACTCTCTTTCTGTTTGGCTAGTGATGAACTTTCAAGCACTGTAAAAACAAAGTCATGCATTGACGAAGAAAGACAAGCGCTTCTTATCTTTAAACAACATCTTGTTGATCCTTCTGGTAGGCTTTCCTCTTGGATGGGTCACGATTGCTGTCGATGGGAAGGAATTTCATGCAACAACAGCACTGGTCGTGTCGTGAAGATGGACCTCCGGGATCCATATCCATATACCCAATATGATATCGAGTGGAGCGAGTCGGCTCATGAAAGGTCTCGCTTGAGAGGTAAGATAAATGCATCTCTGTTGAGCTTGAAGCATTTAAATTACCTGGACCTAAGCGATAATGATTTTCAAGGCAATCAAATTCCTAAGTTCTTTGGGGAGCTTGAAAGTTTGCAGTATCTCAACCTCTCGTCTGCATCATTTGAGGGAGAGATTCCCCCTTCTCTTGGTAACATGTCAAGCCTCAATTTTCTTGATCTTGGGTGGAATCAACTCTCATCTTCCAGAAACTTGAATTGGCTGTCTCACCTCTCTTCTCTAAAATACCTTAATCTAAATGGCATTGACCTTAGGAGCACAGGAGGCAGTTGGGCGTATGATATTTTTGTGCTTCCTTCATTGTTAGAGTTACACTTATCTTCGTGCCTAATTGAAAGTCTTCCACTCATCTCACTGCAACACATTAATTTGACATCACTTTTAGTCCTTGATTTGTCACAGAATCATATAAAAAAATTTGCATTTCATAGTTGGCTTTTTAATCTTACCAACCTCATAACACTAAATCTATCCTTTAATGATTTGAGTGATACCTTCCCAAGTGAATTTGCAAATTTCAAATCTATGAAATACCTTGATTTATCTGAAACAGGTTTAAAAGGTCAAATTCCCAAAGTCATTGGAAATTTATGCAAGCTAAAGTTTTTGAGTCTTACCCAAAACAATTTTGATGGGGGAATGGAAGAGTTTTGGAAGTCTTTCTCAAATTGTCCAAATAATACATTAGAGTCACTAGATTTATGTTATTGTGGGATGCAAAGCCAACTGCCGGCCTCCTTAGGAATGTTTAAAAGTTTGTAGAATCTCAAACTTGGAGGAAATCATTTGTGGGGCTCAATTCTAGATTCCATTGGAAACTTGTCATCCTTGAAAACACTAGACCTCTCTGATAATGATATGAACGGCACCATTCCAGAAAGCCTGGGACAACTCTCGGAGCTTGTTTTCCTATTTCTGTCTGATAATTCATGGGAAGGTAATCTGACTGAAGCCCATTTCATAAATCTTACCAGATTACAATATTTTCTAGTAGGAGACAAAAAATCCCTCATTTTTGACGTGACCTATGATTGGGTTCCTCCCTTCAAGCTCCACATAATTGAGATCATAAACTGTCGGGTAAGTCATGGTTTTGGGGTATTGCTTCAATCTCAAACTGAACTGATCGATGTCACTCTTAGTGGTAATGGAATATCTGAAGATTCCATACCAGAGGAATGGTTGTTGAAGATATCTTCCCAACTCATCTTTCTAGACTTATCTTATAACCAATTTCGTGGAAACTTTCCATCCCATTTGAAATTTCCAAATTTAGACACCATTGATTTGAGTCATAATAAGTTGAAGGGCGCACTTCCACTTTGGTGGTCCACTAATTTCTCTATCCTTTCTCTTGAAAGCAATTTATTTTCTGGGCCAATTCCCTCCAATATTGACCAATTGATGCCAAATTTAAACATTCTCTCTCTTGCTGAGAATAATTTGAATGGCACTATTCCTTCCTCGGTTTGCAACATGCGAAAATTGGAAGTCTTGTCTCTAAGAAGCAATCAATTTTCTGGAGAATTCCCTCATGCAAGGAGTGTGGAGAGCCATATGTCGATTCTAGATGTTAGTCAAAATAATCTCTCTCATAATATTCCCACTTCATTGGGGTTATTAAGTTCACTGCAAATATTAAGGCTCAACAACAACAATTTTGGCGGTGAAATTCCTGATTCCTTGCAAAATTGTTCTAGCTTGATGAGTATTGATCTTGGAGACAACAAGTTATCTGGCAAAATACCACAGTGGATAGGAGGATCAAATGTACACATGTTCTTTATGCTACGATTACGGTCCAACTATTTGAGTGGACATATTTCCCAACAACTGTGCAATCTTCAGCACCTTCATATCCTTGACCTTAGTAACAACAACCTTTCAGGTACTATTCCCATGTGTTTGGAGAATTTGACTTCATTGGTGGATGATCCAGATACAAACACTATTACTTTTGGTGAGCAAGCCACACTCACGCTAAAAGGAAGAGAGCTTGATTACAACACGACCCTAGGTCTTGTAAAGATCATTGATCTTTCATCAAATAATTTAGAAGGTGAAATCCCTGAAGAAATAAGCAGCCTCATTCTGTTGGGCACTTTAAATTTGTCCATGAATCAATTGACTGGAAAGATCCCCTCCAAGATCGGAAACTTGCGTTGGCTCGAAACTCTTGATCTCTCACACAACCGCCTCTCGGGACCGATTCCTCAAAGCTTGTCATATTTAACCTCTTTGTCCCACTTGAACTTGTCTTACAACAACTTGTCTGGAAGAATTCCTTGGGGAAACCAGCTTCAAACACTCAATGATTCGTCCATTTATATGGAAAATCCATTGCTATGTGGGACTCCTCTCTCAACTAAGTGCCTTGGTGATGACACTTTCCCAGCTAAGGATGCACAAGACAAGAATGAAGATGGAAATGATGATAAGTTGTGGTTTTATGTCAGCGTGGTACTTGGCTTTATCGTAGGCTTTTGGGGCATTTGTGGCACATTGGTCTTAAAGACATCATGGAGGTATGCTTATTTTCAATTCTTTGACAACATCAAAGATAAGGTAGCACTAGCAATTGCAATGAAAGATTGAAAGTGGCTTGTTTCCAAAGAATGTTTTATGAGATTTGATAATACTATGATAATCTGATGTTTTTTCCTTTCTACTTTGTGTTTTTGGTACTTGTAATTTATGTATTGAATAAAAGAATTCTACCACTTGTACTGCATCAAACAATGGTTCTCTATTATCTTCGAGCGATTCATTTGCCGACATTCTTTCTTGGGGTCCGGTAGGAGCTTGTCCTTTTTAAGAGGCTTTGAGTTGCCATTTGTTCTCTTTCATTTCAGATGGGATTCATTGCAATCTAGGGATCAAACACAAGTAAAAGAAATAGAGATAATGAGCTTAAATTATACTGCAAAGGTAAAATACTACCTCAATCAAAGATTCCACGCGACGTCTCATCCTTGTATGCATGAAAACCTCTGAACACTGCAAAACAATATATACAAAAACATAATGAGATCAAACAAATGAAGAAATACATATATATTAATCAGTGAAGACATATATAGGACGCTTCCAAGCTGCAATCACAGTCAATAAGTTACAGACGGACATAACATAAAAGTTGCGCGGGACAAGGACTAACAGCATGAAAAAGTTGGTCCGCCATTACTTATAAAAGTTGTGCGGGACAAGGACATTACAATATCAAATACAGAAATACATACATATTAATCAGTGAAGACATAGTACACTTCCAAGCTACAACCACAGTTGGTAAGTTGCAGACGGACAGGGAAAAAAAAATTGTGCAGGACTAGGACTAAAAGCATGAAAATGTCCAACATTACTTATAAGTTATAAATGAAGTCTGCTGGTGAACAATGTATGCAGGCAACGAACTTACCCAAGTTGAATCACCGGAAAGAAGGCAAATCAATATTGGACACTTGTAAAACTATAAAGTAATCAAAGTATAAATCATACGCCTAACGGTCTCCAAATTGAATGAAATATTTTCTGGATAAGATATCAAATAAAATATTTTGTGGATAAGATTTTAGAATATGAAAGCATTCAGATTATCCTCGCAATACAATGAAGGCATCGTTTTTATTTTTTACCCAGAGTGTCGCTTCGCGTTGTACTGTTGTTAACGTGTTAGATTCCTATGCCTAAGTTCCATGGGAACGTATTTTGAAGACCAAATTCCATCGATCTTTAATACTAGAATTCAGAAGGAATTGTAGCAAAGCCAAAATCCATCATATGTTTTGAAAGAAAGTCATACAAAGTGATGAAACATACAATTCAAATGTTGTAATGCCAAATCATATTCTGAAAATCACGTCTAATTATAACAACGAAACCTAAGAGGCCTCGGCGGCAGGTTGAGTCACTCCACTCTTCACCAACAGTTTGCTCAGCGCATCTGGCGAGCACACCTGGTACTTCACTTTACCCGAAGGCAAGACAAAGACTTCCGCCAACTCAAGCTTATCGGATGTCAGACTAGTGCTGTCCATTGTCTTGCTGAGCACCTTCAGTGCAAGCTCAACTGCCTCTTCTCTTGTTATTTCATCCTTGTAGTCCTGCTTCAGCATTGACTGTGCTGCCTGGTTGTTTGCCCCAATGGCTGCAGCCTTCCAACCGCCATAGTTTCCACTTGGGTCGCTCATGTACAGCTGAAAACCGTAGTTTTTGTCCCAACCTGCAAACAGGAACGAAACACCAAATGGACGGAGCCCACCAAACTGCGTGTAGCCTTGTTTGGTGTCACAGAGAGACTGGACTAGTTGCTCAACTGGCATTGGCTCTTGGTAAGCAAATGTGTAGCGCTGTGCTTGGACCCTGGCTGTGTTAATCAGGATGTTGGCATCAGACATTATCCCAGCCACGGCACATGCAACATGGTCATCAATCTTGTACATCTTCTCTGTTGATGTAGAGGTCTGAAGGAGCTTGGAAGTCACCTTCTTTTCACCTACCAACACAACTCCATCTTTCGACAATATCCCAATTGCGGTCCCCGCATTTCCAATGGCCTCCATAGCATACTCAACTTGGTACAAACGACCTTCAGGAGAGAAGATCGTCGTGCGGCTGTCATACCTTCGAGACATTTGATATCACACTGGAAGAATTACAATGAAATTGAATCAATAAAAGCCCATAAGAAGTATCAATGGCAATTATCAAAGTTTTTTATAAGAACATGGAATTAAACGAGTCAGGAATGCATCAAATAAACAAGTCATCCTCTAGAAACAATAGAAATACGTAATTGAACAAAGAAATCATTAACCATAAAAAATAAATAAAAAAAATAAAATAAAAATTGTATTAGAAGAAAGGAATAACACTATTGAAGTGGCTCTTCAAATTAACCGTACAGTGGAAAGGAAGAAAAGAATAGTTCTTGCAGGTTCCAGTTAATAAAGTTAAATTATTAAGACAGAATATACATCAGTAACATCACTGAGTTCCAAACTGGACTTGAAGGGGTAAACTTTCAACAAAGTTGTCGTATTTAGAAATAATGCATAAAATACTGAAATTCGCTGCAAGTTTTTGTAGCTGCATTTTCAATCTAGCTGCAAAAAGCTCCTGTTCACATTATGCTGCTTCAAATCCAGTTGTTCCCTATAGCTGAATATCAAGGTTCCAAACAAAATTGCATACATAATGGCCTTAGCATGTATCGATAAATTTTCAATATGTGGCAAGATTTCCACCCTTTTTTCTGTTTTGATGGATTGGGAATACAGAAAATATTGTTGCGTGTCTGCAGATATACCAACCTCCTAACAAACAAATATAAATAACACTTCTTGTATCGTCCACTTTGATGTTATTATCTGCAGCGATCACTAATACATGCAGTAAGAAAGTTACTATCTACTCCTTTAAGAGAACTGCTCAACTACAGGGCCCACTGTTCACGTATTTGCCAGAGTCAAACAAGTCTTACAGCAGTAGAAAAACCACAACAATTTCCACATCAATAAAGATAATATAATGTAATCCTTCAAAGAAACATCTCGACACAATGGACAAGGCTACTAGGTCAATAACTAGCAGAATTTAAGTGTAGACTACTTCTGAGTACAATTTGAAAAGGAAAAGAACAGAACCAGACCCATAACCAATAAACCTGATATTAGCAAATTTATGAGAAGATTTGAATTTAAACCTGAAAACTATATAAATTGTTCCCAGTATCCAGGCTAAAATCCTATACCTTAATTACAACCATAGCTTATTTCCAGTCTTTTCTGACTCTAACTTCCTACCAAAACTATCGGGAATCGATAAAAAATACTACAAGTCCTATTGCAGTAGAAAATTCCTACTAATTTCCACATCCAATGAAGATACTGTAACTTAACCATTCAAGGAAACACATTGAATTATATTTAGCACCGTCGGCGAATCAGAAAAACCGACAAGCCTACTAGGTCAAGAACAAGCAAAGTTTACGCATTCAAAGTCCAACGGAAAGCATTGGAATTAGAATCACAACCAATAAACCCGATATTCGCTAAACATACGAGAAGATTCTACTTCAAAACCATAAAGATGAAAATTTGATCTCGTTAACAAGGCTAAAGTGACGAAATTCTCAGGAAAGATCAAAATACTATCAATATATGACCTTGAAAAATCAGAAAAGAACAAAATGCTTCATCTTTTACCTTATTCGACTTCTAAAAACGCTGAAGAAAAGAACCCAGAAAAAAAACTGTCACTAATTCCTCCTAAACGGCGAGTAATTGGACTGATTGAAAACAAACAAACGGTACCCAGCTGGGGTTTTCCTCGCTCTCTAGAACCCCAAAAATTTAAGCACGAATCAACCATGAAAAGTAATGCGTATGTAAATTCACGACACAAAATTCAAGTAATTTACACAAAGAGAAGAGAAGCGGACCTGAATGGGTAGATCTTGAGCAGTAGGGTATCGGAGATAGTCCGAGTAGCAGCAGCTGTGTTCGTATCTCTCTCTCTCTCTCTTGTTTTGTCTTGCGCAAGAGGTTAGTGCTCATCAGTCAATCTGGGCCGTTGCTTTAAAACAGGACTTGGATCAGCCCAAATTTATACCCGAACCTTCGGTTTTCGACCCGTTATGTCTTATTTAAGAGCCCCCTTTTCTAGATCACCTGGATTTTTTTTTTTTTTTTTTCCCTTGACGGTCGAATTTTCCTTCATATAACGGTGTATTTGTGAGTGAATAAACTGATATCGAATTTTTTAAAAATTAAAATTTGAGACTTCTATTACTTAGCACTATAATTTAGTTATATTCTTTTTTATTTGCGTGTGAGAGGTTTTAGCTTCGATTCTCGTCAAAGACGAATTCGAACAACATTATTTCTAGTCCATTATGAGACTAAGCACATCTCTTTCTCTTAATGTAAATAATATCATTTAGTAAAAAGAATATGAGATTTTTTTACTTACAAAATTAAGTAAAAAAAGTGTTAGGACTGTTGCTTTTTTTGGAAGTGAAATAGTGAGATTTTTTAAAATAAAATTAAGTAAAATAGTGAGATTTTTTTTTAATGAGAAACCCCAGAGCATTTTTTTTTTCTTCAATTTCTACTCTTTTACTTCATTTTTTTTTTCAAACAGTTTTCGAAAGAGATCCTTGTAGTATTTGTAAACTCCGACTTGAAGAGATCCTATAAGAAAGTGTTAAGACTGTTGCTTTTTTTTTTTCATTTTTTTTTTCCCCTTCTCTATTAAGTTGTTGCCAAGTAATACTTGGGATGCAAGTAAGGTTACTTGAATTCTTGTAATCCAAATACAACTAGGACAAGTAAATATATCCTAACTCGGAAGAAAATCATGAACGGATTCTTCCTCTCCAACAAATTTGATTGTGTTAAACTCATTTTTCAAGTCTGTGTGCGGTCTAGGTCTAGTAGTATTTCTCTTCACTTGTAAGTCTATGTTCGATTGATAGGATCCAAATCTCTAAGCCCTTAATCAACATGCCTGCAAGTAACACAGAGAATAGAGATGAAGAGGGAAGGAAGAGAGAGAGCAGAGTTCCTGAATTGTTTTTGTTTATATTTCTAGTGTGTAAATTCTCAATCTCATTACAAACCAAAGAGCAAGTGCTCTTATACACGAAGAGTGACTACTGCCAGCTGGCACTTCTAACAAATTCTCCTAATCACAATCCTATGTTCATAACATTTTGATTCTCGCCAGAAAAGAATTTGAACCACCTTATTATGGCAAGCTAGTGTGAGAGGGCCTAGTTCACAACCTCACTCCCTTAATGTAAAAAATATTGTTTGTTTAGGGGAAAAAAAAAAGTTTGAGTTAGTGCTACTAAACTGATCAACTACATAAGTTCGAGCTCAAAATTGAATAAAATTTTGGAACTAGATTGGGCAAGGGTGTGGTAGCCCGTGCTACACTGCAACACATGGGTAATACTTGAAAGCCCCAATAGTAAATTATCG